ATAACTGGCCGGCGTTAACTACCATTTCTGGGTTCACATAGGTAGACAATGTTATGCCGGTGCTTGGTTACTGTTTCCATTCTGTTTCGTTTTACAGGCGACCTTTTAGGGACGTCTTCGAGGACATGTAAATCGGTAGATCTGAACAGATAACTGATACCGCGTTCACCTAATACATAATCACAGGACCGCTTATGAGGTTAAATTAATTTGTATAACACGCAGTAAAGCCGCACTATTTGAGTGGAGTCGAGCTCACGACCACAGCTGCAAATTGTCCAGGAATATTTCCAGCGGGTGAGAAAAGCGAGTTTCAAAATATCCTGAATAATTTTCGTTAGCCATGCCAATTACGGAAATGAAAATTCGAAAAAAAACAGTGAGCACGCTTTATACGCGATCAGTGGTAACCGTGGATCGTATCAGACCCCCGAGTCATTACGGCGACCAACTTTAATCTTTTTTGTCCACTTTTACCTCCTCAGCTATAATTATACGAACGGATCGGAAAGTCTATGCCGTCAGCCACTTGGCATGAGAGTTAAAGCTTGTATCTCGGGGTCAGAGCGTGTGGTTCGGGCCACAAACGCTGACGTTGGCGTCACTGCTCATGAACAGTCGCCACAGTATGCCACATCTACGAAGTCTACCAACCGATCGTATTTAAATGTACAACGATATGTGGCAGCCTTTTAACGGAGCCTATGGAATGGCTTTAGAACTCGAGATTATCATCTGACAGTTGTCTTTATAAAGTTGCGAATATTCATATGGGTCAATTCAGAAGAGCATTCGGCGACCGTACGCGTGTTTTCGACAAATTCCCATCGGACCAGTACATTTATACGAGGACGAGGTACAAAAAAAAACGTGTGAGCAGTAAGAGAAACCGAAATTGTCTTTGTAGCAAAAGGTACAGTGCGTGACCTATCTCATGAAATGTTGGCTGAGATTCTGAAATGCGTTTTCGATTAGGAAGGATTACTTGGTCGCGGTTGTGATACTGATTATCGTAAGGCATACTTTTATAACATTTTGGACTCGGCAGGATGTCGGCTTTTAAATGCACTTCTTTTCAATCTCCCGTAGAAAGCGTGCTCGGTAAAAAATGACTACTTAAGTAGCATGCATTTTTCCCATTGATTTTCGATGGTCTTGGAAATTCAAATATATTTTATAGACACCACAAACAAAAATATGCTTTCTTTTAGTTACTCAATAGAGAATCACGTCTTCTTTATATTTTATACTTAAGGAAGGAGTATAATTAGGTTTTAAAAAAGTTTTCTAATTGCCGAATATTTGGAGCCTGATCATTCGTTGAATTAGCGCTTAGTGATTTCACTCTACAAGGTGCATGCGTTCCGCGTAAAGAAAATCCCATATTTTTCTATGTCATTAAAGAGATATCATACAGGGTCCATAACATTTTGCAATGGATGCGGACCATGTTGTACATTTCATGAGAAGCAGTGGTAAACGGTCATGTACGCTGCTATGTGAATGGACATATCGCGGTCTTAAAAAGTCTCATAATTAGAAACTTTTTTAAAACCTAATTATACTCCTTCCTTAAGTATAAAATATAAAGAAGGCGTGATCCTCTATTGATTGACTAAAAGAAAGCATATTTTTGTTTGTGGTGTCTATAAAATATATTTGAATTTCCAAGACCATCGAAAATCAATGGGAAAAATGCATGCTACTTAAGTAGTCATTTTTTACCGAGCACGCTTTCTACAGGAGATTGAAAAGAAATGCATTTAAAAGCCGACATCCAGCCGAGTCCAAAATGTTATAAGAGTATGCCTTAAGATAATCAGTATCACAACTGCGACCAAGTAATTCCTCCTAATCGAAAACGCATTTCAGAATTTCAGCCAACATTTCATGAGATAGGTCACGCACTGTATATACTAGGGAGTAGATCCAGTAACGACCCGAGAGGGATTTGACTGAAAGGAAAAAATACAGAGGGCTACTCGACGGCCAAAACTCACAATACGACGCAAAGGAGCTGCGTTTTTGGGAGGCAGGTGTCCAAAGTTAGTTGTTCTTATCTTTCCCGTTATATGTAATGACACACTGGGACGCACGATATACTTGTCCTGATTCCAGTGTCTATTCCTCTCTTCAGTATTGACAGTCATTTTACTAATCCATAACTATAAACCTTCAATGGAAACCTTACCTAAACAGGTTCAGCCTTTAACTAAACAATGATTGATTTTCAGATATGAACATAAACGACCGTATTTCAAAAAATGCAATTATTATAGTTGCGGGTTCAGTAAAACGCGTATTATGAAGGAATGTTGACCTGACAGTTCGACTGTCGTTTCCGACGATGTCAACAGTGTGCTCCACAGCAAGCTAAAACAGGTACGGCGACTTGCGCGGCATCTACCGCACTCATCCTCTCCCATCTGGACACGGTGTCAAGACAGGGTAAGAAGACCGGAAGCGAGAAATGGCGCAGGTGGGTGGCACGGTCGAGTCCGCACCTTGGCCCTCCACTCCACACCCCCTGACCCACACAGCAAATGACCAGGATTTTAACCAACAACAAAAAGGGGCTGGGCCTAAGAGGTATGTTCGCTTTGTGCTTATTTATGGATTTTTTATGTACAAATAGGGAGTTCAAAGGCGTAAGCCTATTTTCCTCAAATACACTGACTGACTGTACCTTCAGCAGACCATAACACCGCGCGGTGACAGAGTCAGAGGGTTTCATAAGAAACCAATCTCTAGCTGTGATTGCTTCATTTGCTCTGAGTTTTGCCAGACTTTTGTTTGTTTGAGTAAGCAGATTTTTCACCTCTTTGGCTGGACAAAAATTCTAGGACTGTAGATCGTCGAGTAGGCCCAAACCTTTCCCTGGTGATCAGATTTATCAGGCAGACTTCTTTCAAACCAATGGATACCCAAGCTACTTCATCAAGCAAAGCAGGCGCCGGGTGAACAGACGACGGCCACAAGAGGAACAACTCGAAGTCTGGAGGGCTATTCCTTACACTAAAGGAGTCTCCGATGCGGTTTTACGACTGTTACAACCCGCCAGAGTAGGCATTGCCCATCGACCCCAGGCAACAATTGGTCGCCGTTTGTTGCAACGCAAAGATGTACTGCCACCTACTGAGACCTCAGCAGTTGTCTGTCAAATACGTCGTAACGATGGAGACTGCAGCTACGCTGGGGAAACCGGACGGAACTTGCAGACCCCCTAAATGAGCACGGAGACTGGCAACACGGAGATTAGACCCAAACTCACAGCTTGCGGCTCACATCAGGGAAACTGGTCACAGTTTTGATTTTCAAGGAGCAGCCGTCTTAGGCGGGGGCACCTCAAGGACAGAGCGTCTCAGACTCGAGGCTTGGCGCTCAGATGCCAACTCCATCAACGGGCCTCTAGACCTTCCTTCGACCTATAAACTCTTACGCCACTACATACGCCGTGACGAAGACAAGACATTCATACGGAACCTAAGACTACCGAGCTAACACGGCCTGTCGCCCAATTCACCCAAATAGGGGACGCAAATGCAATTAATTCCAATTGAGGTGACGACACACAATGCAGGAGGCCACCAACACTCACAAACGACGGCTAACGGGCCAAGGCAGCGAAAGAAAAAGAAAATCGATCAGCCCAAGGCCAACTACCCCGGCTGTCTATTCAAAATTCTGATCAACTTTTGCACTAGAAGCTTTGACAATGGAGAACCGCCCAAGCTCCTCGAAACGTCAGCCAAACTAGTCCTCGATCCGGTGAGCACTTCCTTTTCCTCATATTAGCAAGCCGGATCTTTTACTTTTGCTAATCTGAATTGTTAAAATGCCCTAGAGAGCTGTGACCAGAAGTAAGTATATTTATAAAATGAGCACGTGTGCTGAACTGCAGTAAGTACGATTAGTAATGTGGAATTTGAGTCGTTGCAAATATTCTGCGTTATTTTCTTAATGGCTCCGTGTGATATAGTGGACAACGCAAAAAATCAACTGTTGCGGTTTATTTTACGTTCATTTTAATAAACCCTTTTCATCTTCATATCCATTCAGTTTTGTCTTTGGAACTCGAACATTACGTAGCTTATGTTTACCCCAGTGACTGTCTTAAATCCTCCTCATTAGGTAGTCTTTTTGCGTTTGAAATCGACAGCTGACTCATATTATTCTATTCCAGCAGATTTTATGATAAAATCTTTATTTTGTCTATTGATTGTAGTTTTAAATCGGTGGTATCGCTTAAATCGGACAAATTGCTTAACTAACACTTTAATATAATTCTCATGGCTTAAAGGAATCCTAAAGAATTCGATAACATACTTTTTCCTTTCTTGTCTGAAGGCCTTCAACGTGACACTTTTCAAAAACCAATTCATTTAACGTTGCCGATACTAGGGAACGCACTCCTCCGATTTTTCGAATTACAGGACCGAATTTAAACATTTGTTTACCGTGAAGTTACGGCTTGATTGCGAATCTCCGAAAATGACAAGCAAGTTCGAGAGGCATTCCTCCCTTCCCATGTTTTGCTGTAAAAATTCTTGATTATCTTGGGCAATTCTAAGCCAAGAAACTACTAAACTGGCTAAACTTCAACTGGAATGAGTCTTAAAATTCAGAGTTAGATTGATATTTTGAGAACAGTAAATAATTCCTGATGTTTACACGAACAATTGATAAAAAAGGACAATCAAAACTCTGGACAATTTCGATTCCTGAAAATTTATATTTTTTACATAGAACAATGTGAATGTGTTTAGAATACAAGGAAATCTGCTCATACAATATCGGAAGAATTTGAGGCGTCAACAGCAATGGTAAACTTTTATTTAAATAATGTTCTCCGTTACAAGTCGAATTAGTCTTTATTAGGATTATATGACTGCAGATCTATAGGAGTGATCACAGGTACAGGTAGATGGTTCAAATGCTTTTTGAAGCTCTTTTCCGGTCAAAATAATAGAATCGATTGAAAAATATCCCTTACCGTCAGTCTATAATAGTGAACAGACCCGACGTTGTCTCCATTCAAGTTGGTTGTATTCCCTCTCCAACGTGGTGTCCTGTTGTCCTGCAGTCTCAATAAGGGACTCGTTAAAGGTTGTATTTCCGGCACCGGTATTGATAACAGATTTGTTTACAAATTCACTGGGTGTTGATTTTTCCTGACCAGATACAACTAAATTGCTGAGCCTTCGTAGTCTAAAGTGCGTATAAAAGTTATTCTGTGATTTCTGGTCAAAATAGTTTTTGCGGCCTACTAGGACTAAGTCCATCGCTTTTGCTACTCCAAGTACAAGACATTGGAGAAATCAACCTAGCTGTGGTGCATGAGTTAAAACAATGTTCTTAGAATAAACTACTAAAGGACGGTTTCTTTGCTCAGGGATATGTTTATCACCGGCCGTCCCCTGGAAAACACGGTTCCTCTTGCTATTATCTCTCAGGTGGTCGTTTACGGGAAGTATTTCTGCAGGAGAGCAATATTTGAAGGATGACCTATAAAAATTGCCGATTTTAAATACTTTGGATGGCTATAAAAAGGATCCATCTAAATTATGAAAAACTGCATCGGGTTTAACGATCTACATCAAAGTAGTTTGACAGAATAATGCACATGTCCGCTAGAAAGCATTCCGTCTGCTGTTAAATTTCTCTTCTAACGAGGGTAACTGGTCTGTGAACATGAGGTTACGGGGCAGTCTTTTCCCCAAGAACGGCCTTAACTCTACTCCAATCGAACGCGGATAAGGTAGACCAAAAGATATCTTTTCACCTTAGGGAAATTATAATATGAGCTGAGTACTTTCAGTTCACAAACATTTTTTGACAACCTCGACGGTTACGCAGTTTATCAGACTTCCTGGTGTTTAACACAGGGGTAGCTATCCGTACATTCGTTCTCTTCATTATTTCTACTCCTCATTATTTCCTTTCATGCTCAATGCTTCGTCTTGAAACATAAAAATTTGTCTTTAAGTTTTTACTTGTCATATGTATTTTTTATGAATCGTTTTTTCCTTTAGACGACTTCCATTTTTTCAGTTAATATATGTAAAAATTTTAAAACCATTATGTTTTCTCTATTTATAGCCTGTTGTTTATTTTGTGTTCCAATTTAAGGTCTCAGTCTGTAAACGGTTTTGCAGCTAAACCGACCATCTTTCGGCTATTGCGTAGGCTATTAATTTTAACACGTTCGCCATAGATACTAAGAACAGCAAACAATTTTCACTTAGTTCTTTTTATTCAGCACTGTCTGATACCAAAGCCATGATGAATGATAAATCGCATTGTCACGTACGATAGTGATTCTGCTATTCTACTCTATACGTAAAAAAACACCAGCAAGTGAACAACAGTCATGATTTAATTTGTCAGTTTTTCCAATGAAATCTTCAAACTTTCTCCGCTTTAAACAGTTGTAAAAAGTGACAAATTTCAAAAAATCGTCTGTAAGTAAATAGTCTCCAAATATTTAAACACTTCCTTTGCGTAAAAATTTCGTTTTGCCTTTAAGTAAGAGTGGCACGTAAAAAGCACATATTCTCTTTCCGTAATTTCTAAGAGAATTATAAGTTCAGGCATTCGTCTTTTTGGCGACAGATATTTAAAAATGAGCAAAATCAATTTACGCAAGCAGAAAGCGCTAAGTCAAAGTTGGTGGTTCACTAAATTTAAAGCGGGGAGCGTGGTTTCATAAAACCTTTGTTCGCAGATCTAAAAAAGTTTATTAGGATCGTCTGGAATATATGAAATCGTAATCCGTAGAGAAAAGATAACTAGGGGAAATTATTGCGCGGCGTATAGAATTCCGACATCTGCTTATTAATGTTGCAGAAAAATACCTTCACACTGCGCGTGCCGAGCCGACTAACTAGAAGACTGCATTTTTTGGTTAAATCTTACCTATGAAGCCTATGAAGAAGAATGCGATAGGCTCCAGTGATGGAACTTCGGGCTTCTAGACATCGTGCAACATCCATCTGCTCTGGTGAAATCCCCATATGTAGAAGCAGACGAGCAGCTTCAGCCTCTGAATGATATACGATTGCGTCTGGCAGGAGGCTACTTCTCGCACTAACGTCACTTCCCCGCCCGTCGTCAAAAATATCATCGCGACTGGGCACCGACAGCCGGTTTGTAGTTTTGTCAAGAGCTTCGATATCGGCAGACGGACTTTTGGTGTCCAGGATTGTTAGTGACAAACGTGAGGCGCTATCGCTAGTTCTGGTTGGCATGGGATAGCGGCCTTGGGGCCTTTGAAAATCGCACTGGAATGAGAAGACATAATTTGCATGTTTATGCTATGGACATCCAGTGTTACTTAGCGGACATTAAAAAGTATGCTTAAAGTCAGGCGCCGGGCTTAGAGTGCATTGGAAAGGCCGAAAAATGAGTAATAATTAAATTGCAACTTTCGAATAAGGAGTCACTTTGAAGCAAGTGTGAAAATGCTATTCATCATTTTACGGTTTATTGCATCTAAAAATCTACAGTGCGTGACCTATCTCATGAAGTGTCGGCTGGAATTCTGAAATGCGTTTTCGATTAGGAAGGATTACTTGGTCGCGGTTGTGATACTGATTATCTTAAGGCATACTCTTATAACATTTCGGCCTCGGCAGGATGTCGGCTCTTAAATGCACTTCTTAGCAATCTCATGTAGAAAGCGTGCTCGGTAAAAAATGACTACTTAATTAGCATGCATTTTCCCATTGATTTTGGATGGTTTTGAAAATTCGAGTATATCTTATAGAAACCACAAACAAAAATGTGCTTTCTTTTAGTCAATCAATAGAGAATCACGTCTTCTTTATATTTTATATTTAAGAAAGGAGTATAATTAGGTTTTAAAAAAGTTTCTAATTATGAGACTTTTTAAGACCGCGATATGTCCATTCACATAGCATCGTACCTGGCCGTTTACCACTGCTCCTCATGAAATGTACAACATGGTCCGCATCCACTGCAAAACTTTATGGACCCTGTATGATATCTCTTTAATGACATAGAAAAATATGGGATTTTCTTTACGCGGAAAGCATGCACCTTGTAGAGTGTAATCACTAAGCGCTAATGCAACGAATAATCAGGCTCCAAATTTTTCGGCAATTAGAAAACTTTTTTAACACCTAATTATACTCCTTCCTTAAGTATAAAATATAAAGAAGACGTGATTCTCTATTGATTGACTAAAAGAAAGCATATTTTTGTTTGCGGTTTCTATAAAATATATTTGAATATCCAAGACCATCAAAAATCGATGGGAAAAATGCATGCTACTTAAGTAGTCATTTTTTACCGAGCACGCTTTCTACAGGAGATTGTAAAGAAGTGCATTTAAAAGCCGACATCCTGCCGAGCCCGAAATGTTATAAGAGTATGCCTTAAGATAATCAGTATCATAACCGCGACCAAGTAATCCTTCCTAATCGAAAACGCATTTTAGCATTTCAGCCAACATTTCATGAGATAGGTCACGCACTTTAATAGTGTAGCGGGCATGTGAAAATGTTTGTTGTGATCATTCACACAACTGGTTGACAGTTGGAACGGAGTTTTAAGCGCCAAGGGTGCCTGAAAGAGAGTCAGTCAGATTTAAGTCGGACTTGCAGTCCTGATCAAGGGGAACGAGAATGGATGCATACATGGACGGGTATCTTCGCAAGATGATTGCTGTCACAGTTGCCAATATACAGCAGTTCATGCGATCATTTGAGAATGGACAAGATATCAATGGAGCCACAACGAGATTTTCAAAATGTCTTGTTTTATTTTCTACCTCAGTCCCCTTCCGTGAGGATCACAGATTAAAATAAAATACACCGATTTTAGGAACGCTTTCAACATGTCAACACTCTTGCAGCACTGATAATTAGGACAAAACACTGTGTTTTGGTAATCATATTAGTAATTTGTTGCTAGTGATTTGCTTTCAGCACTGTGGGCAGCTTTCAAGCGAAGGACTACCATGTGGTTTACATCTTATTAGGCCATGTTTACGAGAGAATTTGCAATGAAGTATTTTCCTCCGGGAGGTCACTTTACACTGCGCTGGTATATTTTCAATATTTTGCGGCGATCTTTTATGATTACGTTCTTTTTTAAATAGTCACCATAACCGATGAGCAAGACATAAGCCCCAAACTATACATACATAATCCTAAAACTGAACTCCTTTGCATTCAAACAAGAAGCAACACAGCGGCTTTTAATTCCCAACTACCGCCTCTCAGTGTATTGCCGCGACATATGTAACCGATTTAAATAATGCCCAAACGAATTTTGCTTAAATTCAGATGCCTTCAACAGATAACGTCCTATTTTTAATCAGTTTGGGCAAAATCAGACATGTTAAAACGTTACATAGACGACTTTTCATTATGGGTAGCCTTATGACGGAGCTATGCGGATGAAAATGAATTAAAACTTGCTAAAGAGGCATCGTAGTATGGGAAATACAAACGGGCAAGGAACCTTATTTCTACGAAAAGCTTTCACTCTTTTCCTATCAATAAGTTAAAAAACATATTTATTGTTGGACTTGACCATAGAGAACAGTTTCTTCCTTTCACAGTATTAACTAGACTTAAGTCAAATATTTCCGGTTTTTAACTTTAATGAGAAGAATAATGTGGGTGGTTCATGCATTTTTCAGAGATATTCGTCTGATTAGCGAGCAAAGGGTGCGATTTTAAGGCTACTCCGTAAACATCCTTATGGGCTTTTAGCAAAGAAACAGTAGCTTTTTTACTGTGCCGTGAATAATGCGTGCAAGGACAAGGTGTTTAACGCACATTTGGACTTATCCGAAAACATGGGTAGGCCTTTGGGAAAACTTGTCCAGCCAACCAGGACTCCGAGTCTATGGTATGCGATTTAACACCAGGTTGCACCCCACTCACAGACGCTGGTCGAAGTGATGATGAGGGATGTGTAGCGTGGCTAATGATCTTAGCAGCCTTGGGGCGATTCAGCGGATTTTTGCAAAGAAGTTCTCTTATTAGGCTGCTCGCCGACTCGGAAATACGCTGTGGGATCTTCACCTGTTGACATTCTAGAATAGACTTACGCAGTTGGCCGACAGTTCGACCTCGAAAGGGTAGAAAGCCTACTAGAAGGTAAAAAAGAAGAACCCCTAACGCCCATATGTCGACTGGAGGTCCGAGATAACTGAAAGTAAAATAGAATTCGTTAGCGCGCTGCTAGGCATGAATCGCATATAAAGTTTCATACAAAGGAGTGGCGTGAGAACAATAAATTTGCCACGAGCAGTCAAGGCATCGTATTAGTGATATGAAAGAGGCAGATTTCAGTCATGTTTATTTACCCTTTTGGACAAAATTAATGGGTCACATTAGCTTTCGTATTTGACATTAATTTTGTAAATGAAAACTATGGGCATAAAAAATTGTAGATAAAATGTAAGCATAAGGCAAACAACATTATAGATCTTATTATTTATTACAATATAAATATTTATCTAAGTAGGATGTTATTTTTTAGACCAATTTTGTTGAATAAATGACGGAATCGCCAACTTTAAAAACTGCCAAAATTGTGAAGAGCCATTACAACAAAAACGTCAGTCCAGGAACATTACGCCGTATATATGCTCCTAAAATACACGCCGTGAGGTTATTCAAGGTATCTTCCAAAAGGTGGAAGATATACAAAAAACACAAAATTTGAATGATAATGTCCAATGTTTCACTTTGGACTTTTAAGCTGAGCAATTAGAAAGTGAATATTGCAAAAACATCTGGGCCTACCTTAGAAGCATTTTTGCTCAGTCAGAAACGCTAAAAACTGCATAGACTTTTATATGCACTTAGATAGTTAACAGATCTGAAAGATTTAAGGCTTTTTAAAAATATTTCCGCGCTTCCGCCGTTTATTTTACAGATGGCCCTTAAAACTCAAAGTAACCAATTATCTAGGAGTCGTGCTAATCCTCAGTTTAAACAATCCGGCTTTCTTCCAGATTACACGATTTAACAAGTAAATGCGGTTCTGATAATGACTTCCATGAATGTAGCGCATTGCATCCTGACTATTAACTGTTATTTCCTACTTTGTTAATTCGCGTAGACAGTTTCTATGGGGTGTTTAGTTCTGAAATACCGTGTTTGGGTGCGTTGATGATGTTAGAATGGTAAGGTACACCTTACAAAGAAAAACACAGGAAGAAATTTCAAATAAACCATATAGGGCGTTGACTAAAAATAGCTAAATTTATTTTGCGAAGTAGACAGTTCATACAATAAATCACTTTCAGTGCACGGAAATGCTAGTATTTCCACACTAAGCATATTTTTGTTTTGTGAGATGGTTAGTAGCATAGTGGTAGAAGGGCGCTCGTTGATCGGGCTATGAGACTCAATCCTCTTGTTGTGCCTTGCAGCTCTCTCTCGAGCTCCGCCAGCTGCCGCACAGGGGCGCATGATATGGGCAGCATAACATTACCGGCAAGGACAAAAAAGACTGGAATGGCCATTTCTGAATTAGTAGCCGTCGTCGGACAATCACACCCAACCCCGAAACGTGGAACACCCGGGGGTTGATCCCGCGACCTGTCGGTTGGCAGTCCAACGCTCCTAACCAAAGCACAACGGAAGGAGTGAGTCCCGTAGCGGGATCGGTGAGCGCCCTTCCACCACTGTATATGCCCGATGAAAACGGACAGGATAACGAGCCCGTGGCTCAGTGGTTAAGAATGTTGAACTTCTAACCAACAGGTCGCGGGATCAACCCCCGGGCGTTCCACATTTCGGGGTTGGGTGTGATTGTCTGACGACGGCTAATATGTCAGAAATGGCCAATTCAGTCCCCCTTGTTCTTGTCGGTGATGCAGTTTCGCCCATATTAGCATAGTAAAATTGAGTTTTTGTCCCCCAATAATGCAATGGCAAGCTACCAATCTTGTACTGATGTTTCTTATTATTTTCGATGCAACGGAACGACTAACTGAACAAAAGCCAAATACTTAATGCTCATGAACTTGTAATTAAAAGAAAAATAGTGCTGTCGGACGAAGATTTAACTGAGAAGGATTAGTCACTCAGATTGAAAATGCAAGAGTAAATTACTGTGATGAATGGTTACTTACGATGTAGACGAAAATAATTCAGGGGCTGCATAGGGTGGTGATCCGCAAAATGTTGACAAGTGTTGATTTCGGCTGTCCATAATTTTACTGAAACCAAAATCTCCAATTTTGACGCGGTAAAAGTCCAGCGATTCAACAGGCTGGTGTTCGTTGCCTAAAGCTTGTCACAGAATATAAACGAAGTCAAAAGTTTCACAATGCTACAAAGGGTTTGTAAACTGCCACTCACTTATAATCATTAGAAATCATGTAGTTAATTTCGAAAATATAGCTATTGGTTGTGAAACTATGACCTAAGTATGGCGGTATAATTCCTACTCTTAATTTAGGTAACTAATTTTATAGAGCAGGGCAAATTTAGGTATCAGAAAACATATTCGACCGTACTCATTTTCTCTATTATATGTTTCGTCTGAAACTGATAATTGCTTTTTTGCTCAAAGCTAGCAGTGATGTTGCTGTTATCACGAATTGCTGTGACATTAGAAAATATACTTTTATGATGTTGTTAGCATTTTACTGTGGGATTTGTTTTCGTTGTCTTATGATGGCTGAAGAACACTGAGCGCCTTGTAATAGTACCCAGATATTCTAGAGAATAATGATAAATATGAGTCGGTCCTTTGCGTTACCCCGTAATTACTGTCCATTTGACGGCATCAATCAAAGTCATATATTGAATGGCTGTCTGGAAACAAAAGCAAATTGATAGGAAAATGGGACAGATTGAAATTCATGCAAAGTAAAAGAATGTATCAAGCATATTTTCGTCTCGATCAAGGCCACACTTTACATTGATAGCTATTATTGACAGCGTCCGGTTCAACAATAAGCGAACGTTCGAATAAAGTCTCTTAAGACCTAATTGTGAAATAAATATCATTTAAAAGAGATTGAAAAACACGGGCAGTTTGGACAGTCAATGAAATATCCGCACTGGGAAGAGATAAAGCCCTGGGGCTATTTTCCACACCTACACACGACCTCTTCAATATATGCGTCACGGTCAGTAATTCTAGGGATTATATTATACCTTTATCTTCCTGAACAGAAACTCAGGTCGAGATATGCCACATGACTAAGATTAAGAAAGGGCGCCAATCTGACCATTAATTGTGATTTCACGTCTAATAAAGAAGTTACTGGAGTGTTGAGAATTGAACCGCTGTCTTGGTTGTCTTTATGTAAAACACCTGAAGATTAATCTGACCCAACGTAAAAAACAGCGGCCTCGGTGGTGATCATACACTTTACAGCAACTGCAAGGCCTGTGTACAGCCAACACGCGCGTGTTTCGAATTTAGTTTAGAATCCTCGATTTCCGCGGATTTTCACCCTCCACACCTATAGTCGCACGCAAACAGTACCTTTCTTTTGAGACATTCACACCGAGATAGTTGCAGGACCATTTTAAACCAACATATTTGTCTAGCCTCACAATATCGATAACAACGGACTCGTTTTGAAATTTTCTTCATGTATTTGGTGGTTTTGAATCGATTCGCTAGAGCCTTTATGTAAACATTCCTCAGACATCCCATATAAACATGAATATCGGACTTGGAGAACAATCGGTAGAAAGGAGTAGGTGGTTGGGATTCGAACCCTGTAACACGACCCCCAAACGAATAAGTCGACCATCAGAATATGCGAGAGCGTAGCAGTGGACAAACATACTACCCAGATAAGTGCATCTAGTCGTCAGATGTATTTCAAGGATAGGCCTTTTGTCATCCGATCTTCTCCCACCAAGCGGGTATGTAACTCAAAGGCTTCAGAGACGTGATGTACGGGGCTAAAGTAGAGCTGAAGGTTCTAGATATGAAAGCGAAGTGAACAATCTGAAAATATTAACCTATTCTGCGCTTAATCTACAAAAGGAGGAAGGAAAACCCGACGCCAAAGAAAAGAAGATGAGGGTTCTGTAGCATCGCAGTGGAGGCCCTAAAGTAGGATGCCGAGTGCTGGGAGTCCTGGCCTACCACAGCCGAAAAAAACTCAGTCCATGCTTAAATCACGACCAGCCACAGAATCTGCTGCTAGTCGTAGGAGTCCATAAAAAAGGCTGTCCAAGCAAATAAATAAACAAAGTGCTTTCAGTACTACCTCCGTGACGCTATTAACCGGGCAGTTGTCAAAGCCCACAATCCAAAATAAGCCTAATTTTCTACAACATCACATTTCCTATGAAAATGAAAATAACATCCGTTTAAGCAACTGCAGTTACAGGAATAGGTCTTTTCCAGAGAACGCCAGCGTCGAGGAGAGCGAACTAGTTACCTCTGTGTCAAGAGACAAGCATAACGGAAACTAAGTAGAGCAAAATGAGAGGTGTCATTGTCAGTTCGTGACGACCACATGTTAACTTTCTCCAGGCGCGATCTGCTTACAATAGGAGAGGTTCGTCGAACAGAGGGCAATTCCTGATGATTCAGGGACTTCCCAAAGAAGGAGTCTCGGTAGACTCAGGGCTTTTCCAAGGTCTCCTTATCGAACCTATGCAGCCAACTGAGGAAGTTGCGGTGCTCAGTCTGTCGACTCGACAGGCGCTTGGACGTATCTGCTATTGTCTCTGATGATGGGTTTGAGCAGGAATCCGAAAGGCCAGGCGAATAAAGCTCTTGTCCTGGCGATCGTTTCTCGTCTTCGGCATCCTAGACTGTCTACGCCCCAAACTCTTCCAAGTAGTGCTGGCTACCCGGGAAAAGACAGAATTATTATTTCCCGATGCTCCATTGTGAAATATGCCAACCGCGGCGCCTTTGTCAGCCGAAATACACAGCCTTACAGAGAATGGAACAGCGACAGTTAGTTTTGGAACTGCAAATGCGGCTGTATAGTGGAGATAAGAATTTGATTATACAGGACATATAGATAATGCAGTGCCTTCTAGCATTCTGCTGGCCGAATCACTTCGAATGAAGGCCCACCTTATTCATCAAATGAAGGTTCAACCTGCGCTGTACGAAAACACTGCAAAAATATGAAACTCGAAACTGTGTACACCAAAATACTGGGCATAATGAGTCATTTCCAGAAACTGGCAGTCCGCATCTACGACGTCTCCCCAGACGTTATGTCTTTGACAGATACATGACTGTGTGACAATGTAGATGACCGAGAATTGTCACCAACCGAATTTCACTTATTTTGAAGAGATAAGAGAGAATGCCAGGGGGAGGAGTGCTCATGTACGTATAACCCGGACTGCTTGTGTCAGAAAAAACAGATAGGTTCGTATGCGACACTGAGGCTATTTGACTCGCTATAAAGGTACCATGACATCAAAGCATTGAGGTCCGGGACAGGCTGTCGAACACCGAGAAGTAAGCCCGAGGCTAACACTCGTTTGATAAAGGAGCTAAAAAGATTCTCTAGTCGACCTGACGTCCTGCTCATGAGAGATTTGAATGCCTCGCATATTGGCTGGAGTCCAGTTTATGCATTTGGTCTAGAACTAGTATCTGACCGACGTTTATTAAACATGACATTTAGGATATTTCTGACTCAGTACGTCTTGTTCCGGACAATGGTGCTTGAGGGTAACAGTCAAACTGTCTGCAGTTGGTGCTCAAGAGTTCACTGGACAGAACTGATGAGCTTTAATGTCTACCTTTCACAGGTCGAAACAGTCATGTCGCCCAGTTCTCGGAATATTACATTTTTCGGTACCCGAATGGCCCATCAGACTCATCAGAAGCATATGGCACGGTGACTTTAGTCAAATGACGGCCGAGATAAACAACATGACATGGGAATCAGCTTTTCCGACAACAGCCGAGGGTTGGGAATTGATCAGTGATTCATCGTATTCGACCCCGAAACCACCGCCCGATTTCACGGAAGAGACTGAAAAGTAAATCCAAGTGACTGGCACAGGCCTTCAAGAGGGACGTGAACAAATACGGAGTGGATAAGAACCCTGTGCCGATAAATGCATACAAGGCGCAGAGGAACCTAGTCAAGGGACTTGTCCTCAGAACACGGCATGAGTTCGAAAGAAATCGGCTGAAACGTGCCGTTAAAAATCCAAGGTTGGCCACTGCCACGTCAGGGGTACATGAGGCAGAGATCCCATGTCCCGACTGAAGGCTAGTGAAGATCTAGGCGTTAGTAAAGACTGGCAAAAGCATTGTATCTTTTGAATTTTCTTGGGTTCATATTTGCGGGGAAAAGCGAATTCACTCTACGCGACTGCGACTTGCGGAGTTCCCTAAGATTGAGACTGCATATTTTACAGAAACAACTGATAGTAAAGGGCTTTTGGCGCCGAATGAGTAAAAATCACCGTGTTCAAATGACATAACGTCCCAATTACTGAGGAAACTTGCTGATAAAGTAGCCGAACAACTCGCCACGCATTTTACAGCCTCGTTCGAAATCGACTGTTTGTCCGCCCATTGGAAGTCTGCACAACTCACTGCGTAAAGGTGGGAGCAAGGTCACCACAAATGTATACAGACCAGTGGGCCTCATTTCGGTTCTCTGAAAAATCATAAAAAAATAACTACGCGAGAGCTACTGCGTTTTTAGAGCGACAAAATGTACTATCTGATGCCCAGCATGGATTTCATAAAAGTGCGTCTTGCTTGAGAAACTTTCTTTGCTGTTTAGAACACTAGACTCGGGCACTTGATGGAAGGAATGCGGTGCATGCAGTCTGTATCAACTTTACGGAGGCCTTTGTTAGTGCACTCCATCAGCGGCTTCTGTACAAACTTAGCCGAACAGGCGTCGGGGACAAGCTCCTTAATTGACCTCTATTAAATGGTCTATGTGGGTAACAAGCAGCCGGTTGAGGTTGTGGTTGCGAGCGCTGTCCCCTAAAGCTCAATACTTGGTCCTGTCCGGTTCATTGTGTAAGTCAACGACTGCGTCAATGAGCTGGCCTGTTCTGTCCCCATGGTTGCTGATGAGATCAGGATTTGGAGTGTTGCACGAACTGAAGCTGACGAGGAGCGCCTGCAGGTAAGCCTAAAACGACTCGGGCAACAGTTTAATGACAGTTTTTTCTCTTTTACTTTGAACAAAGATCCAACATCGTACGATTCAACGGAAGTAGATTCCAGAAATGCAAGATTTTCTGTCTAAATAACATGCCATTGCAAGAAGTGGACGCACGGAAAAACTTGGCTGTGGTGATAAGGACTTCACTTAAACCATTATCGCACAGCGCAACGGTAACCAATTCAATTATGTCAGTCCTGAGTCTTGCTAAGCCGAATTTCTCAAGCTTCGATGAAGACGGTTTCGCTTAAGTATTTCGAACTGTAGTCCGTCATCTTAACCGAGAAATCTTGGACTGCCAAGGACCTTATTGCTTTGGGAACTTTCAGTGGTACGCAAGCAAACTTGAAACTGGACGGGTCTCGCAGCTCTATGGAACACAATTATCCAAGATCGTTTCGTTTTCCATTGAGTTACGGGCAGATACGAGCATTCTGCATCATGCACGGTCAGGATAGCTGTCTTGTACCTGGGGACTTCAAGTTAGCAATCACAACGAATCTGCGAGGACAATCAAACTGTATGTGACTGGCCAGACTAAACACAGGTAAGTACTTGAACAGAGGAGTTGGAGCTTGGAATGCACTCCTAACAGCTCACACCATAACGTTATCTGACCCACATCTTGACGCTCTGCATTTACAATTTATTACGGATGGAAGCGAATATGCGAATCCCAGGGTCTCGTTGTAAAGAAGATGGACACGCGATCTCTGGGACAATACGTGTATTAGTCTGAGCTTTCGTTCTCGTATAGGAGGTCACCGTCAGAGACAGTGATAATGCAGCGTCAACTCAGCAGTTTTTATAGTCAAACAATGAAGGAGGGGATAGAAGTTCAGGAGGGGTGGTGGTGGTGGTCGCGACAAGGCTGAGTCCACGCCGTCTCACGGCGGCGTGACCGCGTGCACCCTTGACTGGGAATGGGGTCTCACCTCTTGGTCGCGGGAGCGGAGCGCGTGATAGCAGGGGGTATATCAATGTGCCTGTTTATGGAGCTGATGTCAGACATCGAGGCCTCCAGCATTTCTAGCCATGTCTTATTGCTGGCGCGCGCCACTATCCGTTTGCTCACAAAGTTTAATCCATGGCCTTCCACCGGGGTGTGAGTGGCGACTTGGAAAAACGGATCGCCTCTCCAGACTGTCCTTTTATGCTCAGTTATTCTCGAGCTAAGCCGTCGTTCGGTCTGTCCTGTGTAATGGTGAGAGCAGTCCCGGCCTGGGATCTGATAAACGACATCCGACTGTTCTCCTACGTCTATTCGATCCTTAACTCGCATGATCTTGTTGCGCATGATCGCTGTCGGACGGTGAGCGATACCCACGCCGAGCTCTCCAGCGATGCGTTCCGTCGCTTCGGACACATTCTTTATATATGGTGGAGGGTGCCAGATTGTTGGCGGCTCTCTTCCGTTTGTTCGTCGTGGTTGCATGCGGAGACTGCGGCTGAAGAAACTGTTTACGTATCCATTCCTTGCCAGTTGGTCCCGAGGGTGCCGTAGTTCTCGTACTCATCACTCCGGTTCACTGCAATGCGTTTTACCCCTTGGAAGAGTGCCCTTACACAGCTGCGTTTATGCGCCATTGGGTGCTTACTATAGAAGTTGAGAATCTGAGTCGTGTTAGTCTCTTTTCTATACGCCGTGGTGTTGAGTTCGCCATTGGGTGTGCGTGTCCCGAGGACGTCGAGGAAAGGAAACTGTTCGAAATGCTCTTCTTACCTCGTGAACTGAATGTCAGGGAAGATGTCATCAAACAGGTCTTGAAAGTCTGTTACTCTGCTCCTTTCAATTATGACAAACGTATCATCTACGTACCGGCGCCAAAACGCGGGTTCATAGTAGTCGAAGGCGACTTTTTTCAACTCCTGTAAGACTAGTTCCGCAACGAGCCTGGATCTTTGCGAACCCATCGGTGTTCCTTTGATCTGCTCGTATGTTCTGTCATTAAAAGTGAAAAAGGCTTGTTGGCAGAAAGCAAAGTTTTAGTATGTGATCGATTTTTAAAGGTCTTTTCGTTTCGTCGTAATTTTGTTCGAGTCATTTATATAGAACGTCGCGTGCCAGGTCCGGTGAGATAGATGTAAATAATGAAACCATGTCAGAGGACATCATAATCTGATCAGGTCGAATAGTTATTCCTCGGATGTCAGGCAGGAGTTGGTAGGTCGAATTGCTGGAGGTCTTCGAGCCTTCTCGGAGAAAGTTTAGTTTTCGGACCATTCATTTGGCTAGATTGTAAGTGGGACTGCCTTTCAAGGCAACGATCGGTCGAAGGGGAACATTTGGCTTGTGGATTTTGCGTAATTTATAAAAGCGGGCCAGTGCCGTGTCCTTTGGTTTCATCTGTCGCCGTTCGTCTAGCGATATTGCACTGTTGTGCCTGATTCGGTTCAAGAGTCCGGTTAGTTGACCGACCATCGTTTTGGCTCGCGAGGAAGGCGTGGATTTGTAGGACTGTTGGTCGTCAAGGGGGGCTTGTGCCTTTCCGTTGTAATAGACGCGTTTCATCATGGCGTTTGCTCCTTTCATCCCCCTCCGTCATTGTTTGACTACAAAACTGCTCATTTGACGCCGCGTTCTCAGTCTCTGACGACGTCCTCCTGTATGAGACCGAAAGCTCAGACTAATATACGTATTATTCCAGAGCTCGCGTGTTCACCTTATTTGCAATTTATTACGTTTGCAATGTTACTGTGAATGTTTAAGTAGCCCTCGTCTACGAACGTTTCTTATCGCCTCCTAATTAACGATATTTACAGCGGTGCTTGAAGACAATTAAAATCGCACTGCATTCTCTGTAGTATGGTTTTGCTTAAAATGACTGATGTACTACGCACTAATCATCGCATATACGCATGTATGTCTGGCAGTGTCATTAACACTTAAGAGTGTTCGTCTACCTGTACAGTTTGCGATAGTTCAATAATGGCTCGGTGTTCACCTTTCAAAATTATTAACATAATTTTGATGCTTGCAAAAAAAACAAGGAGTTCAAAGATGCAGACCAAATTAACCTCGAATAGACTGAACTGGACTGAACGTTCTAGCCACCTGAGCTACTTTTTTTCATGAGTGCAAACCTCACAGATGCCTCCGAGTCTTCACAAGTGGGTCAGACGAATTACACAAATCTGTCACTAAAACATATAAGTCTGAAGATCTCATTCCTTGTGCAGTTTGTATTGATGGCATAGGTTAACTTTAAGTCATCTATACGATATAGTTGGAAAGGAAACACGAACACAAACAACCGGTTATTCAACGACTGTAAAATAAATTGTGAGTATGGGTACGAACAAATGGCTCTTATTTTCAAATTGGTATGTGCGTGGGGTCCATAAACTGACCGAAGGAGCTTATGCAACTTTTCAGCAAGAAAATTTTGATTATTTGTTTACTGCAAGTAGTACTCACCAACCGCTTTTGATATAGCCAAATACTCTCACCAGAAGTGTGTTCTCAGATGAAGATGCAAGGGCAAATAAATATTTGCTTAAGGTGTATTCTTGCTACTTTACCCTATCAAGAGATCGTAAGTCCAACTTCAACACATCAAAGACATGGTTTCGTGTAAACGATGGATAATGGCATTGTTTCTACTTCATACTGGTGCATACAAAGTAGAATGTTGACCCTGGCATTCGAAACGTACTGATGGGGGAATTTTTAAATATAGGCAGCCATTCAAAAAGTAAACTTAGGCATAACTAGTCAGTATAGTAAGGAGTAACGAGCATTCCTAAGAAATGCATTTAAATATATTACAAACAAAAAACATCGAATTTAAATAGTTACATCTTTCCACGAATTTTTAAAGATCCCTCAGTTTCACCCTATTAAGCTATAGAAGTTTTCAAAAAATAGGTTATTTTAGCGGCGTGTTTTAGCGAGAAGCATATAGCGATGTAACCATTGGAAATTACCTGACAAATCCAGCGAAGAACAATTCTGCAGACGCTTTCTCGCCACTCTACATTCACCCAAAATCTTTATTTGTGCGTCACTTCCAGCATATTCCCTCTTTTGTAGGGATCCCGACTTCGCTATATCTTCATAAGAGTCAGTCACCGACGAGCGAACAGCGAAGAAGACGTTTTCGGCCTTTATGTCACGGTGAGCAATTTTTCTTTCATGCTTATGAAGAAAAATCTTGAACGTGAACCACATTGTAAAGTAACCACTAAAGCATGTAAAAGATCTAATCCAGACGCAAAATGCGACATTTTGTGAAAGTAATCTACGGTTACTAGTATAAGCCAGTGAAAGTCAGAAAAGTTTATTTAAGAGGCATAAATGCCGTACCAATTACAGAAAGCCGAAATCACTGTAACGGACATTACCGATACATATTCAAAAACTGTTATTGAGTTTTTTGCCTACGATAAGCAATTTTGAATGTTGGTCCACCTTGTTTTCCATTTTATTAAAAATTTCTGCAATTATGAAAAATATTTGGGAAAACTAATCCTGCCTTCCTGACATAATAAGGTAAACGTGGCAACAGAAAGCCTTTCTCACTCCAGCATTTTGTATATAAAATACCGATGAGTTTCAGCATATTTAGAATGCTGCCTCATATATCAATTAATGGATTTTGATCGAATGTCTATGTAATTTGGTTTCTCTTAGTCACATCAGAATGCTCTTTACTGATGTTCAAGAATAAAGATGTGCGACTATCAGAACGTGCATAGAGCCAAAGAAAATAAATACGTTTGTCCATTAGTTTGAAATAGAATTTAGAGCCAGACCCCCCCTGAATAGAATAAGCCCAAATGTTTTTTTCTAAGAGGATAAAAGTGGCCAACTTAAAAATGACCATATGGCGAGCATACGCGTTCTTTCAATAAATTCTTATCAGACAAGTCCATTTACAGTTCGTGGCCTTACTCATGAAATGTATCGAAATTTACGAATGATTGCCAATCAATCGCAAACCGACACCATATCATGATTCCAGCTTCTATGTAAATTAAGTACAAGTTTAAAAGAATTAAAAACATAAAAGAAATACTATAGGCAGTGTTGCGTTGTTAAGAAATGCCGATTTATTTTGAAAAGCGCAATATCCCGAAAACGGCAACAATGGCTTTAATTAAGTAAAATTCGTTTTTAGATGTATATGATGTATTCTCATACCAAAAACGTAGTAATTATGAAAGAAGACATAAAATAACGTCTAATAGCAGTGTTATAGTGACGTTTACACCTAAATATCGTTTAATAAGTAGTGTGATTTCATATGTGACGGTTTGTCAACTGCCTACATTCTGAGTATGGATTCCAAAACAGTTTTCCGGTGTTTCGTGTTTTCCTTGACTATGTGGAGTTAAATGAGATGGGGTCCAACAAAAGAAGCTGGATATTGTTTGAGTTAGCCGATGGGGACGTTGCATGATCAAAAGTTTTCATAAGGTGACATGCATGAGGCCGGTCGGTGTCTAATAAATCTAAATAGAACTGACAGGCATGATCGTAAACATATCATTTTGTGTTTAAAGAGAGAACTTTTCTTCCGTTGCATACATGTGAACAATGCACAAAGTAAAACGTGTGAGCGATAAGAGAGACTGACTGCGGTTCGTCTTTTTATACATGCGGGGTGTGTGAATAGGGTGAAGGAAGGATGCAGTAAGTGGCAGTAAGGGTTCGGTAGAGCCGTGTCACGGGGAAGTGGGGGACCGAGGGCGAGGAGACATGCATGCAATCGATCGATCTTCGGTCAACGTAGACGCGGAACGTGCAAGAGGTTCTTCCGCGCGCACAGGACCGGCCTCCGTAGCGTACTGGCAGTCGCTTCTGCTGTTGCTAGTAGGCGCTGACTCAGTTGCTTAGATAAGTTAGGTGGGATCTTGTAAATCACACGGAAGGCTTTTTTGGGGTCCACTCGACGCCCAGAATTAACCAAGTGTGCGAGGAGGGAGCTGTGTACATTTAACTTCACCTTTCCCTAGCCTTTATGGCAGGTGTTCTCGTATTCTGGTGGGTAGGTGCCGACTCGTTGGGCCAATATAACCTGCTCCATGGAAGCAAGTAAACGAGTAAATGCACATGGAGATGGTCTAATTTGCTAGCCGCTTACTGCCTCCTTCCCACCCTACCCACAGATCCAGCTTGTATGAATAGACACGCGTATGTTCGTCAAGTGGTCTTCTAAATTGTCGCGTAGGAGTTCTTGTAACTAAAATTTCAAAAAACGCCCTAAATTATCGTTTAAACCTGTAAGTTGTTTTATCCAAGTTTTGCATCTGACCGTCGATTGTAAGTTATTTTATGTTACGCGTTTATTTCCATGTTGTCACATTATATGTTTGTTGACATGAAACTATCTGTAAATGCAACGATATCTACAAAATAATAACAATGAAAATAGCGACTGCTTGAGTTCTCATATGAAACAGGCGTCAATTCAAAGTACACACAAAATTACGCAGAAGGCCCGTTTTTGTTTGCTTCCTTGCAAAATCTTTACGACTTTAAGTAAATTAAGCGCCCACAAAAAATCGTTCGCTTTTTATGACTATGGTTTCCAGTTGGCAGCATTTACTATACTGGTACTTACGGTTAACGTTAAAGTCATTAGTAAAATTGCCCCACAAGTTGAACAAATGTGTACGGAGACCGTCATTCCTTAAAGTTGGAAGTCTAAGCGCCAGAAAATATAACCACTTTACCAGAGGTTTTGAACAGTCTCTGGAGTCCAGAATGAGTGATATGAAACCATCTACGAAACACGCTGCTTAAACCGTGGGATAGCAAAGCAGCTTGTTACTGTGTCATTGCGGCGGTCAACAATCCCCTAGCTCGTTTGTGGTCTTCTGTCTAACATGGTGATACTTAGTATGCGGATGCTATTTTGGTGCATCTGTTAAGAGAAGCTCAACTGTTTTCCCTTAATGACCAACTTCGTCCAGCATCAAACTCAGAGCTTATCTATGACCTATTCCAAAATAATTCATCTTCATAACACCTAAATCACCCACTTCATGAACTTTGATCCATTTAGTTGAGTAACCTTCAAAGAGAGCTCTTGAAATTTAAGAAGACAGGCGACAGTTACCGCTCGTAGATGTGCATATTTAAATGAATGCGCAAACTCTTCATTCACTTGCAAGCTTATTGCAACGAAAATATGCATTAACAGCTATTCATCAGATAATTAGGCTTTGAATTGGTTTCTTTAAAGTTGTAAATTACAATACGCGCTTGCCTATGGCAAAGTGGAGTTTTTAAAACTCGAAGTTGAGATATTTTTATTTTGTGGCTATGCATGGAATATTCTCATTGCACAGTCTATACCAAATAACCTAGTGATATGTATTATTGTTGAATTACTCTACCCGAAAGAATCGTCCAATAGGCTTATGAATAAGAGGGGAAAAGACCATAGTACAATAACATTTGACTCAAATAAATAGTTTTGTTCAGGAATATGTATTCCCATGACACTTGCATTCATTGCTCTATCATGATTGCGCAAAAATTGGTCTTTCACTATGATTGGTGAGTGGAACTCATAAACCACTTAAACGGCCGCAAGGTGGCTGCGTTCAAACGATCGTTTCCAATAAGATTTTTTAGGTCCACCACTTCATTCACATACCTGAGCTCCGACAATAAATTTTAGGGTTTTGAAGTACCATCCTACTCACTAAATTGTGGACTCTAATCATATCAGCTAAAATTAAAAATATCCAATTTTGTGGCAGTGGCGTGCACAGACTTCTTCCAGCCTCGGATCTCCGTATCTTCAACGCATGGGAGCGGTGGCAATGCGAATATACTCAGTAATGGTTGGATGTTTGTCGCCGATGAGGGATGTCTATTTCTAGCCTATTCATCATCATCAGCCAGTTGTAAAGCAAATTCAGGTGTTTTGACAGCACCCTCAACGCCGCAAATCCCATACTACCGGTTTTTGCCAAAGTGTTGCAATCCGGCAGGCCCAATCAGATGATGGTGATGTGCACCGATCCATCCTATTTTCAGAAGAAAAATGAGGATTTTGTTTTGCCTCGAAATAGGGGCATAGGTTTCCGTTGGCAATTCCACGGTGACTGTGATCAGTGATAGAAAAAATGTCACCAACAAATACAGAGACTCTGAGACTACCATTTCCTGACTATTTGCATCGATAGGCTAATGATATCCAACCAAAGATACTGGCGGATACGACATTCCAACGTGAGTCTGTGTGGCTTTGAGCAACTTGCTGACTTCAGCTGTACGACTTAATCTTAAATAGATACAAAAGAGAAAGATTTGGATGCATGAGAGTGATGTGCATTGCTTTGTCTTGATTGCGGGATGGAAATGGTCGTTGGACGTTGACTTTCGACTGAAGTTGTACAGTGCACGCAGGCTACAAATGGCGACGATAGTCATTAATCAAGGAATGTGAAACTAAAATATTGACCCAGTAGTGTTGAGTTCCGACTTTATTGCCGCTATCAGCCAGTGTTCATTCGCTATGGGTACCAGCGCGCACGCGCCTTGAACCCGAGTAGATATGTAACCGTGCAACGCTATAACCATTGCACTACGGTCACATCCCCTAGAAATGCGAATATGCAGGCATAGCTATTGGCGCACATTGTGGGATAGAAAAAGGCAGCCCATTTTGACTTCTAGCAGACGATTTACATTCATCAAGTTGACCCAAACTAATAGTTTGCAGGTTCCAAGTTGGTGGATGGTTTTCAGGCAAGATAAATCTAGCAACCAGCTCTATTCCCTCTCCGAAGACTACAGTGTTCTCATGTAGGATTGGCTATTTGCCGGTCGGCTCGTAAGGTAGAGCAGATATGTTCAAAAGGGTCATTTGACCCTGGAATCGCTCTCTGCACATGCATTAGCGTATATCCATCCCTCATTTTAACCTCCCTGCGTACTGTCCTGATCGTTTGACCATCGTAATGACGAGGTGCATCATTGTTGCGATGAGAATGTTCTTACAGAGGGACATTTGTTTGCCAGCATCCATCTAAATCGCGATCCCCACACATGCTCTTTCAGTTGCAAGGCAAGTTAACGATTGATGCAGATGTAATGGGTGCAGGGCTTTGCAAAACTAGACAACGTATCAACAAGTCTCTTGTATGACCTCATACCTAGCTGCAAGCAAATCGGGTTTCAGCGATAAAATTTTATGTCTCACATAAATGTAAGTGTCGCGAAAACAACGTTAGGAAAAAATATCGCAAGTTGTTCCTTGACACTGTGTAAGACTGAGTTGTCCCAAACATTGCGATCGTGGAGCGTTTGATTAAACGCCAGATCCGAGGTAGACTGATGTCAGACTACTCTCCATCCCATCTAGCAGAGCCCGATCATGAAATGATTTGGTGCAGTGCTTAGCTGTTATCTGACGCGTGATACAAGCGGACTCCGTTTCAAGCTAACAGTAAGACCAGAATGAGAATGAGGCCTCTTCTCCTGAATTTTTTCACAAAAGGACCGACTTAGCTTATCGGCCCTGCTCGTCCTTTCCCCTCTCACACAATAACGCTCCATTCAAACTCCTCGACTGACTGTTGATGATTTCGGACGTTGTTGTTAACACGACATCAGTCCACGCCCATACACGACAGAAATTAAGGACTGGGCCAATGTGACCCATTTTAGTTTATCATAGAAGGGACACAAACAGTTTTTTGGCATATTTTTCGAGAAATCACTTGGCACTGTTTCCTATACCACACACTTATTCTTTTCAACAGTAAGTTTTTGCTGTTGTCAGAAAGATACATCTGAGCGTTTAGGTGGTCTGGATGGGTGGTATTCTTGCTGAGCAGAAATCTGGTATTTTTGAAGGCACTATCTTTTAGTTAGTTCATCCAGAATGCACAGACCATAGTCATCGAACGTCTACAAAGCTGGTTTATCCGTGGGTCAGTTGGCATCGCTAGCACCGGTCCCTGGTACTGACCCATAACCTTGAAGGTGATCGAAATCCCGTGACTGCAAACACCCACTTAGTCACATGTAGGATAAATGACATCGAAGAATGCTTGGTTGGCACATGCACATTCTGCCGTCGCCCGTTTACGAAGCGTGCGTTTCCTTTCACGATCACTTCACACTACCCTACACTTCGAGCTCGACAACCAAGATGTATGTTTTATTTAAATATCATATAGGTTAGTGATGTAGCTTTATTATTGAAAAACGTTTTATCCAAGGGACCTCTGGTACCGTCCACGTTATTTTTCATGCAGTCCATGGGTAAACCTGAAAATACTCTTAATAATGTGTGCAAAATTGTTCCAATTTGGACGGTTTATTATAGACATAAAGTAGGATCCAAGGAAAAACCCGTAAAAAGCAATTGAAAGAAATTTCCATAAAAGCGCGTAAAATGAACTATGGCGAGCGGATAGGCAAGGGCGTGCAGGCTCTGTTGAATTAAGTCGAGAAAGCAGTAAACATTTTTTGCATTGAAACATCTCCCTAGACGGGTGTTTATGATTTCACAGAACGACGTAACTTGTGTGGGCTTTCTTGCCAGAAGCTACGCTCTAGTTAACAGGATCAGAAGAAAACGAAAAAACGCACTTACACTACAACCATTTTTTCCAGTATTCAAAACGTGATTTGCATACGTTCACGCAGTGTATAAGGTCATGAATCTTATGCGCAGATCACCAAATAGCACATATCTATCTAGAAGGTTTTTTCAAATCTACATTATCGATTCACAAGTTGTTCACCACTGATTTATCTGTAACAATAACATATTCTATTTAATTACAGAAACATGTCTATTTTTTCACAGGCAAAATCTGAAAACCTTAGCAAATACTAAAGTAGGTTTCCCTTCATATTTGGATAGCTCAGATTTTCGCGCCCAAAGCCTCTTTCTTTATAGAAAAAAGTCTCAATTAATAATGTTGAGACAATCTGTACAATAATGAAACAGTGAAGAAAATCATTTGGTCTCCAATATTATGGGTAATAATACATAATGCTCATGCAATTAGAAAGTGGGACCTAATGGATGAAGATTTACAAATTCCAGATGTACCAACAAGCAAAAAGACAAGTCGAGCGCCGGGATCAGCATTTATTTGTCTGAGCTTCCGAACTCATCCACCGTCCGACATAAAATAGCAACAAAACGGGCGACGGTTGAAGGCTATATATATTAGTCAAGGATCCGTGACTCTGATGTATAGATGGTTGCGCAGGGCACTGTACACCGGTGTTCGTCGGCGGTAAATACTCTAATACATTCTCGGTTTGTCTTAAAATTGAATGTCTCATGAGGCTATTCGAATTTTGACGAAAAAACGTGCTTTGCGTTTGAGAGAGAAACACGTAACCAAATCTGAGGGACTCCAACGAGATCCCGATTTTCGGGTTAATGGAAGAACTGGTCCTACAGGAGTTAGAAAAGACTGCCTACATCCAACAGGAGTTGATATCTTGAACTCATTACGTTGATGACACTTTTTTTATCATCCGAAAACACACGCCGTGACAGTTCCAAAGTCTGCTAAGCTCAATCTTCCCAGTTATATAATTTGCAAAAAAATTAAAAAGCTAAGCGGCTGTCCTTCCTAGATGTGCTTGGTAGGCGAAATCTCAATGGTGAAATAGAGGCCAAGTTTTACAGGAAGGAAACAAATATAACGCGGCTTCATATATGTCATAGCAACAGTTCAGTTTGTTGTACAAAACTTGGTTTAAAAACAGACCTCAAACATATCCAGCAGAAGGAACACGTGAAGCCTAACGTCTTCGAGTTAATTTGTACAGAATGGCTGTCTGACGGCGTTTACAACCCGATGTCCACGTGTTCATCTACAGATGGTCTTGCCGGGAACATAATCAATGGTATGGCACGACTCTACATACATTGAAGACTTCCAGAGGCGATCGAGCGCATTGTCGCGGAACTGGGTGTTGAAATTGCACCCGGTCCTAATCTACCCTTAAAATCAAAGACCTATTAAATCCCAACGAGCAGTCAGGCTCAATAAATTGTAATCAGTGCCTAAAGGGGTCAGGCCGAACGCATGTTCGAATCGCGCATACAAAAAATAAACTGATTTTACGATAAGTTGGGGAATTATTCCAAGTGGCTGCCAACGTCTTTGAGACGAGCCACTAGTTTAACTTCTCAGCCCCCAAGATAATCATACCACCGGAAACTAGACGAACCGAGAATTTATTGAGGCCCGAACCACCGTGTGGAACCCAGTCAATTGGTGTGTCGATCTGGTACTGGTACATAGAGCCCTTCGCAGCCACTTGCATATCACAGTCCCTGACCGTTGATTAACAAAATGCCCCCTACAACCGTCACCTGTTTCGTTGTTGCTTTTATACCGGGCAATGGATGAGCTCGGAAGTTCGGACGAATAAAAGCAGGTTGTGTTACTCGATTGGCCCTCTGCCCTAGTTAAAACAATACCCCACAAAAGCGGATTGTTGTGTAAAAACGCCCTGTACAAAGCAACACGAAAATCACACTTAATGTTTTGTGAATGGCCCATTAAAGTGAAAAGATATGTATGGTTTATAAACACTCTCGTCAGTTTCCCTTATCGTCTTTGAAAGGAAATGTGTCAATGTTTTGTTAGATATGCGAAAATCACATGTGCGCACCGTCTGCTAGTAGATGACGACAAATTCAGAGATGGTCACGCTTGTTTCCTTGTGATTATAAACGAGAATTTTCGAAATACCGCTCTGAATTTACTTTGAAAATATGCAAACCTTGTTTAAATCAAATTACAGGAATTTTTGTTCCGGATTTTAATTCCGTATGGGAATGGGCTTTTCAACCTTACGTTATTTCACAAAATTAATCCAAGAAGATCAACGGATTTTTCGAAATCACGCAAACTTACAAATGTTTAATTTAATTTCGTTGTCAGTAACTAACCTTTTTTTCAGTCACTTATTGCTGAGGTGACTACAAAGTATTGCTTTTCTTTTTATCCAAAAATAGTTGGATTTTTATGATACCATCGCCAAAATTCGGATACGAAAACCACAGTAAAATGGAGAGACAAACAGTTCTTGGATAGAAAAGAGGAGATATTTAACGACATTTTCTATAAAACAACAATTATTTTTGGGCGTTAGCAGTGGGTCTGGGCGTCAACCTTGTTTTACAGGTGCCTAGAACCTAGGCCATTTTTTATCTCCCATAAGAAGACACACACCCATGTTTTAGAAAATGCTCATCAACATGTCTCATATTTATCGTTCGCGTTATGGTACTAAGCAGTGCGCGGAGAGTAAAAATCCCCTGTCATAACAAATAATTTACAGCATTACCATCTAAGATATGCGCCAACATTCATGTAACTTTAACGAACGTAATGTGAAGAATATGCCATACAGTTTAATGCGATTGAGTTAGACAAAGGAGATGTGCGATTTACAGGCTGCCACAGCAAAATACAACTACCCTTATTTTTCTAACTAGTGAATGCATAAATGCCAGTCAACTAATATCTTGTGTGGAATCATATTAAAATGTTTGGTTGCAGGTTTCATGGACATCTGCACATACAGTGTTCGTGGATTTCTAAATATAGGCATCAACGTAATGCTACACATGACTAAACTATGGTGGGACCGTAGCGTATGATTTCCAGTTATCTTAAGATAAGAATTGTAAATTTACCTGCATATTTGGCGGCTAGCCCGGTATGCATCGAGATGAATGACAGTACAGTCAAGTACAACAAAACAAAGCAACGGAAGTGCCAGAAATAACGAAGGAATTCGTTAAGGCATTAAAGGTGTTAAGCGAAAGGACACTACCAACGAAGACAAGGAGAACAGGAGTGACCATCTCTGGCTTGGTAACCGACATCAGCCAGCCATAATCGACAGTAAGTTCGAAAACATCGAGGTGCGGGCGTGCATTTTGCTAGTTAGGAGCACAATGCTCTGGACATTGCCTATAGACTTGTCATCCTGGTCGGCTGCGATTGCGAATTTCCAAAAACATTAATAACAACATTACATTCACAGCCAGTAGAACGCTAGTTCGAGCGGCAGGGATTGTAAACATGGGTTTGATTACGGCTTACTGATGACGGCTAGTAGGCCGGAAGCGGTTATTCTAATCTCCCTTGCCTTTGTCGTTAATGCCCTTTTGCTCAAACTACTAGTTAAAGCACGGCTGCATGTGGCGCTCTAGATTGGGCCCCTAGGCTCGTCTGCGTTATTCAAGTGCCTATTCATTCAAATCAATGCTCTTCGCTTCATTAAATTACCTCACTCTGATCTTCCCAGACGACGCCGCTCACCAAGCGTTCCATGGCATTGTGTTCGCAGGATGATGACGTCCGCGAGAACTAGTTTAAAGTGCAATTACGTATTTACATGGTATTTGTCGCAAGTTCTCCTCCCTCAGTCAGCTGGGCTTGGTGTCAGGGCGACCTGTGGCGGGCCCGGGCACGGTTGTTTCAAAACTGAACACTCCGACTACACGTACCATACACAGCCTAGTCTCTGCACGGGGGACGAGATTTTCACAGAAAATTAAGTCTCGGATCCCACGTGCATATGAGTGTCATAAACGTCACATTCAGAGGGAGCCATCGCAACCAGACTCTCAGTCCATGAACAACTCACCCCACACAACTCGCATACATACAGTATCGACCGCGAGGGCCAAGATATCCTGCCAGTTGGCAGCTTTTTATGCCACGGTGTTTTGAGCGCCTCGATAATCTCAAGGGGCGCCAGATTTATTATAGTGAGGAAAACGCTGAAGTGTAATGTGGATGCGTTTCCCAGAGTCACAACCATTCACTTTCCCCTCATTCATGCGCCATGCACAGGTTCAGTGTTTCTTATTTCGAATAGAGCATATAGCGCCTCCCAATTAACGGTCAAATCTCATTTACTGGAACATCCTTAGTAGTGGACCGTGGGTAATAAAGGAGGGGCACAACTAGGAAATGTGGGTCATTAGGCAAAGTCGAAATTTGCTGCGGCGTCCATGTCCGCTGAACTGTGGACGACAAAATTTGCCCTGTGAGAAATAGAAAAACCCCATTTTCTTTCACTCCTAGTCTCTCAATCACGAACTTTAAAGTTTTCAAAACATTACATTAAAGGACTGTATAACACTTATTTATTCAAATGCAACTAGTTCTCCCTTGTTAGTTGTCCAATTAATGGTTTCCACTAGAAGATTTTGTCGAAATGAATCCATGTATTTTTTGTAAATTCGTCTTGGTTAGATGAGAAAGTTCTCCCATGTTAATAAAGATAAAATTAACAACAGCGTATTCGATCAACATGATACAATTAAATATTTAGAAAGATCTGGTAGAATGATTGACATATGAATATCTGGTATCTGTCTGTGATAACCACACGATACCCCAGACTAGACGTGCCGACGACTTTTGGTTTAACGTACACTGACTCTATAGATTCCATTTATTTTGGCAACTGAATAAATGTTGTAACACGGAAGTAAGTGTTTACCTAATTTTAGTTTCACGTCATCTTCCTAGAATCTTTTTCATTTTTTAGGTGAACTATTAAGCCCTAAGTTCGGTAATCATAAATACGGCTGTTTTATGCTTTGTTACTTTTTTGAGGCTGCTGGTTGCGCTCAACGATCTCCAGGCGTTTTTTACTTAAAAAATATTCACATGCCTATATTAATAATACAGATGCGACCAAATAACCGACATAATAATATATAATAGATGCTCCCTGAGTTTTCGGATTGAGTTGCACTTTGGCTAGTAGAGAGTACTCATCTTTTTGTGAAGTCCTTGCTGATATATCTGTAAATTAAAATCATACTGAAGGTTCCAGGCAGCCCAGAGAGGTGGATGCATGGACTTGTATGCGAACGTTGCATTTAGACAATCAGAAGTGAACGGGCAACTGACGATATGGAAGCAATTACAAATTGATTGTAGGGGGGTATCCTCTGCCAAATTTCGTTTTTGCATCACTTAATTATTGGAGTGTTTCGTCAATTCCTTTTATTTAAAAAGGACATTAATTCAGAGGCTATGTCGAGCGCTCGAGATTTTGTATCTGTCAAATTTAAAAAAGCCGGAAACAAATCAAAATGAACATATTAAAGTCCATGTGTAGGAAATCTATACTTATCCCCACAGAATGGCATTTCAAGGCAAACTCATCAAGTTTGACTTATATACTCCAGGTTCATTTTGTGCTTTGAGGTTTTTTTTGCATAGCACTTGCTGTTTTAAGGTCTTCTCAGCAATTTCTTAGGAAAAGCACTTTACTGTTTGAACCTTCTGACATTTTAAAGATGCTAGAACAGAGTTCGACCAAGTGCGTCTCTTTCTATCAAATACAAATAACGAAATACACTGACCTTTAAATACAAATGCATTTTTCACTATTCGCACAGTTGGAGCAAGAAGATTGTTATAGAATCCCTGAGCCATTCTTCGTAAAAGTATATTTATTGCTGAAAATCTGAACGAATATGTTGATTATCAGATTCGCAAATTTACAAAAGGCATTTAACTAGTCTTCTGTTACGGCAGAAGCATTTGCAGATTATTAGTTCCCGTACATGGACACCTAATAAACAGATAATCACATGCTTGATAAGACATATAAAAACAAAGGAAGATGCAGTGATATGGATGTTCTTTTAGACGGCTCTCTGATGTTCAGTTTCTCCTGCAAGCAGTATGGATAGTGTGAGATTTAGCAACGAAGAGAAGACGACAGCATAAATCTATAGCCCTTGGATATTCCCCATTTCCATTGTCGGGTAAATGGTAGGTATAGATGCACCATCGACTCATTTGATCATCTCCCACCAATAAATTTCATTCTTAAAACATCATCCTTCGAAATATAGTTTGGCATATGTACTCATATGTTCTGTAGTTTAATACTGTTTGACGCAATTTGAAGTACATTTTAACCCTGGACTTTACCCGTCCCATGCAAATATTCACTGTGCATGCTCAAATAATTTTTTATATAATTTGACTTACCAGGTGTTCGACAGCTGCCACTAGCTGTGCAAAGATAATTTTGCCTTCTGTCTCGCTAAAAGGGCCTCTTTTCTGAAGTCTTGTCTCTAAATCGCCTCCAGCAGCGTATTCCATAACCATATTTAACCTCGAAACCGATTCCATTACCTATCGAAAAATATGGCAGTTGATGTAAAAGCACAGACCTAGTTGTTGGTTTAACTTATAGCTAACGGGTATCAGATCACATTAAAAATTTGCACATATCAAATCAAATAGTCGGTCAACTCATAATAACCTACAAGAAAAGTTGTTGATGCAACGCCTGTTAAATAAGCAAGACAAAAAACGTAGGAAACCCAAAATTTCTAAATTACAGCATGGTATGTGGTGTCTTACAAAACTCCGTTCAAAGTAAAGCAAACGCTTTAAAGGCTCATTCTGGAACCAGCAATTTAACGGTAGAGTTAAGGATTCTTGGCTCAGCTTCTGTACACAATGTTGCTAGAACACTTGCAGGATATTATTGGATCCATTAAATTCTCAAAACATTTGCGAAGACCTCTATTAAAATGTGCGAATGATAAAATTTATAATGCAATATTCAGATGCGTTTTAACACAGCATTGGAAAGATAATTTACGATTACATTCAGAACTTTTATAAGAAGACCACTTGAATCAGACAGCATTGTCCAGAAAATTGCTCAAAGGAGACAATAGACGTTGCTAAATAAAATACCGTTAACTTTGGGAGAGGCAAATCTACTGATGACTGGGAACTAACCTCGTAGAGCCTGATTATATTTGGATGGTGAAGTTTGTCAAGAACCATCATTTCCCGAGAGATAAGGCGCCTCGTCGCTGCATCTACTTTGGTTTTGTCAATAATTTTTATGGCAACATTTTCTAAAAATAACGACATAGTTTGATTCACATTGTGCAGTTTTCATTAAGAAAATTTAAATCAAAAAAACAAAGTGCCTCCAGTTCAGTTGACGTTAATCTGCAAGGTTCCCGAATAAAACGCCTGCTTAATTAATAAAAAATTAGCTTACCTCTGATTCTCCTAACTAAACTTTCCACAGCTACTTATTCGCTAGCGTAAGTTTCCAGTTTCAGGTTAGGGGTATTCGGCAAGACTAGTTAAACAGTCTAACATTAAGAGCGCTTTCGCCGATAACTACGGAATCTCTAATTTTAATCATGCGAGGAAGTTCGCTAATTATCAAATACATGCAGTTTGCAATTATCTATCGCTTGTTTCACCTCTTTGATTTACTAAGATAATGCCTCGTCCTCGCCAAGCAGCCAAACAAATATAACGAAAATACTAGGACAGCGTAAGGCGTTAATGCGCGTATGCAATACTAAGGATCACCAAGTAGCTTCTTTCTTTCCATATAGCTAGGTAACGGTTTAGACTTTTTTATGAGTTTCTATAACAAAACAATATGCAATTCTTTATAATTGCCTTTTGTTACGACGAACGCGATGGATACTTAACACACTAGGTTAGGAAACTCCATGCTGTACTGCTTAAGTCTGGAGACTTTTGGAGGGTAACAACTTATGAAATCAGCCCCATTGCAATTTATTCAGATACAAAAACCGAAATATTCATTCGCTCTTGAACTACGTGTCGCAGATTTATTTACATTTGCATGCAGACATTGCCTTCTATCTGTTCGAAAAGGAAGGTCACTAATATGTGCTGTTTTTGAATGTATCTACGCAACGAACAGTTGATTCATGTCCGCGACACTTTAATTTAAACAATTCCCCTTCTTTAGTAAATATTTTACTTGCATGTGAAATTTTAGTAAATAAACCATAGTATATTTTAAAGTTGGTCTTTATAGATATGAGTGGTTTTAAGTGGCATTTAATTTCCAGAATATTAACTCGATTGGCAAAGATTTAAACTTTCATCAGACGGTAGTTCAGATGGTAGGAAGTTTTGCTTTGCTGGGTTTTGGTCTCTTTACAGGATCAAACTTTATCAACGTTTCTTAAACGTTTACAGTTAAAAATAGCAAAGGTCATGCAAACTCGTCCATACTTTAAAGAAAAAGCTCTAATAGTCATCCTATGTACTGTAGATTGCTTCAATAAGAAATCATTCCTTAGCAGGATGACTGCCTAAAAATGATAGACTTCATGGACAGGAGACCACAAGATATCCAGGCCAAAGTGTTGACTCAACGGTACAATTTTTGAGAAGCTCCAGACAAACGAGGTCATAGTAGATAATGATTTCGAGCGACAATTTGCTTTTCCTTACCATGATCTCATAGTCGGCAGCATCAACACATAGAATCATCCCAAACCACTCCCAAAACTTCCACCTCTTGAAGTCCTGTCTCTAGTTCTACTCCACGTTCGACAAAACACTTGACTAGTAAATAAAGTTACGCCAATGTATTCATTAATTTCCACGGTCCGTCAATGCCAAACATCCAAATTCTGTACTCGATATGTGAATAAGGCATCCTTCACATCGAACGGGATCAGGTGTGAGCATTCGAAGAACACCCAAACGCCGTCCTTCTTAAAACATGCAGTTTGCGAGTGAGGGAGAGGAAAACAAGTATTTGCCTCCCCTTGATGTCCATGTCAGCTGCGATGATTGCCGTGACCTAAAAACCAGGGTTTTGGAAAACGACGGATGCGACGTAAATACGGAGTTTCGCTGGCAACCACCCAATCAGTCACAAACGTGATGGATAAGGGTACTATATCAGTCTGCTGGGAGACATTGCAGTAGGTCGAAAGAAGAGCTTTCCGACGGGTGCTCAGAGTGAATCTTTGCATGCGCATATGCGAATGGCACTAGCGACCTGACGGCGCCAGTCCAAAATACTGGCGAACGCTGTCGCAAGTTAAAAAAAAACATATCGGAGACCGTCGGTTGACTGTTTACGCCACTTGGAGTTGGAATTGTACATAGACCAGAAGCTACCACCAGACGCCGAGAAATGAAGTCAAAAGACTCACTGCCATGAGAGGAAACGCCTGGAGATCTTTACTGAATCTGTTTTGCTTATGGATAAAGCAAACACCTTCGTGAAAATTGGCGAATGACCAAACGTGCGGCTGCAGCCATGGGAAATGAAGCCAGCTGCCAGGTTGCGGCTACTTCCTCAAGACCCAGCCACATCTTCAGGTTCAACGAGGTCCAACGTATTGCGAGAGGTGACAACCGCGTGAGTCACGAGCCACGACAAGTTCGTTGTACTTGACGGGGTGAAGTTATCATGTTTTCGGTAACTGCTTAACTACATCCTTAATATTCAATTCGCATGGGTGAAAGATAAGGTCGGACAGTTGGCTTTCCCTGCTGTCCTCGTCATACGCATACCGATCGTGAAATTAGGCTCCACGGTGTACCAGAAGGCAACTAACACAACCCAAGTTCTCAGATTTCATAGCAATAATTTAAAGCTGCACAAACGTGGCTGAGTAAGGTGTCCATGCAAAAGGTAAAAACGCACCATAGGGAACCGGAAACATGAATAAAATCTACACGGAATCTTGGGATGAATTAAGAAAGAAGTGCCACCTCCGCACGCTCTCGTGAATGAAAAGGAGGAAAGAGAGGCCCACAATTTGAAATAGGATCAAAAGCAGCAGAACGCATTGTCGAAGGGCCTGGTGTGGACATCGTCTTGCAGCTACTATGAGGGTCAGAGAGATAAAAAACCTACTGGACAAAAAGGAGCGACTGAATTTATTCCATAATATCATTTTTTGCGAATTTTCCTATAGTTATACAGGCCGGAGAGCACTCCGACTAACATCATAAATACTGGAGCACAACCGCGTGAGTCGCGAGCTATTTGATCCATGGTTTTCTGATCCCAGCTGATCAATAAACGTAATGTTCTCCCGTCCACGTATCCCATCCTAGGACTTCCTGAGCACAGTAATTAGCCCTGCGGGGAGGGCTCGGACGGCCGGCAATTCCAGCGACAGCGAACCAAGTTGCCGAGTCATTATTACGCCAAGAATTCGCAACGGCGATCACATTTCGATAATTAACGACTCGGGTCCAAATGAAAAAGCAGTCATCACATCATTTACCATCCCTAACAATGAATGTGTGAGCTATCAATTATACTAGGGATGGGACTGCTCAAAACTGCGGTCTGTAAATGCTGCACCCCTGTGCCTCCATCATCCTTATCTACGACTGTCTCTGATGATGGGGTCGAGTCAGAATCCAAGAACCCAGACCAATAAACCTCATATTCCAGCGATTGCATATTCTTCTTCTGAAGGCAAGAACTTTAAATCAAGAGTTTTAGCTAGGTGTCAGGTGGACTGCTACAATGCTATTCTGAGTGCATCAGTGGCATTATTATCGAGCAACCCTACATTTACGGAACATCATTTTATAATTACCTTTATGAGACATCTGTATCTGCGTCCAGGCAGCTAATTATCCTGGATGTCTTTAAATTTGTAAACAAACCTACCGAATTGCTGGTTTTTCGAGAAACGCCGCTTTTTTACCTAATATATAACATACAGTTGCTGGTTGATGCCTTGCAACCGAGTCTTTTACTTAGATGTTTCATTAGTCACATAATCAATCACATTCCGTATAATGATACCGGACTAACGTTACAAAAAGAAGCAATACGAGGATATAGTTTACAAATCATGAATAAAATGACAAAGTTCGGCAGGTCGGACATGTATTTAGATAGAGGATAAAACAGAAATGAAGAAAACCGTCGGATTACAGTCTTTTTAGCAACTTCAAATAATGCCGAAACAGCAAAGTAGATCAATTGTTTGGAGAATCGCCGAACGACTGTATGAAGGATACAAAATCAAGGTGCCCGAATTTGCCTTCGGATGAACAAATTAGAATAAACCTTCTTTAAAAGACAAAGCCTCCAAGGCAAATGAACCTACTTGCTTTATCATTTCTGAATTTATCTTGAGGCCAAAGTGTAATGTCGGTGAAAGTTAACGCAAACTGCATTATGGATTCATCTGTTAACTAAAATTCTAGTAACATGTCCACATTTAGGGCAGAAAATTTCATCTACAAATTTTTTCCGATAAACTATTGCTCAACTGGGGACATTGTAAGTTCGTGCCGGCCATTAAGTTTCTCTAGAAAACATCAGCCAAATACAGGAATTTCGATTGACCTACTGATTTTGTCGCAGCACTAAGAGTTTCATGTTTACGGAACCCATTATCACAGTTTCAGCCCGGTGAAATGCGTTTGATTAGTGATTTTTTCATTGATAAAATCGTTCGGACCTTTCAAAGTCTTCATGTTCGGTCCTTCAAAAACGTTAAATTTGAATTAATTTCATCAAGAACAAAATAAATAACAAACACTTTCGTGTGCATTAGGCACATACAGCAGACATGACCATCCACAGCATATGCATTCCAGCAAACAGATGTCTAATATGCTCAACTCGATAAAAGACGTTAGTGGATGTCGTAAAATGCTGTGGTTTTCCTGTCATGTATGTGCGACGGCGCACCAGGTGGCAGTTCCTGCCGCTCCAGCCACCTGCATTCTCTCCCCACCTTCGGTCTTCTTGACTCTGTCTTGACACCGTGAAAGTCTGTGACTGCAGGAGGGGGTGCGGCTGATGCTTTGCAAGTCTATCATCACTACAAACTGATTCGCACATAACTCATCGTCCCTGCCCTCACCCTGCTGTGGAACACACAGTGGACATCGCCATGGGCTACGGTCTAACTGTCATATGCTATTTTGCCATGAATAACGGAAAATCTTGTGTCGGACATGTTTCGGACTTCACTTAGTAAATTTGTTTAGAATATTGTGATGTAGTTCCCCTCGTACAAGACCTATGGCTTTTGTCTGCCAGGCCTAGGCACGCGGTACATACACCAACTTCTATAAATAGAGGCTAAGTTGAATGTCGCAGGCTCTTGCTGTAAACAATGAGAATATTTGATCATTGCAACTGAAGTAGCTGTAGTCTGAGCTTTCGGATTTTCACCGGAGACTGTTTTCGGAGATTATGAATGCTCGAATACAACTGTATGACTTTATAGACTGACGATGCCCGTTCGTGTAGCGATTTGTGTCCATCGAGAAAGCAATGCCATCAAAGGCGATCATGTCTCCTTCTTCAATACTCGAGAGTGTTTGTTAAGAAGCGCTAGGTTGCCTCATAACGTCGTTATGATGCAAATGAATGTATGCTATATAAATCAATGGTTTGAAAATAACGGCCGTGTCTAGGATGAAAGCCCGAACTCCTTTAAACGTGAAATATATAAAAAACGTTTTCGTGCAAAATTAGTATAAAACGGATTTTCTGAACGTGGTTTCTAGTAGATACGACTTAATTCATATAACCACAACAATATGGGGCCCAAGTGTATACGACCTAAATGGTCACCTTGTCCGCATGCATTTTACGCAGCTGACTGCAAAATGCTTAGCCAAAAGAATATAACCTGACATTTACGGATATATTACAGTTCTTTTGAATGTGAATCGACAATCTAACAGCGATCAATAATTCCTCCCTACTTGAACGCACATTTCTAAATGACAACCAGTTTTATGTAAGTTTGGATGCATACTGTTCCTTATTATGCTTGAGCGAATTCTAAATGAGAAAGTCTTTTTGTAAAGTGTTTTTAATTATCATAAACTAGGATTAAGTAATCTGGTTCTAAACTGTTAGACAACGACATATATTTCAAAAGTTGAAAGGTCACTGGAGGCGATCGACAGTAAAACTATTTTTGCCAAATGAATGTGTGCGAAATTTAAAGAGGGAAAAAGTCTCAGGCTGTTAAACGAATGCTGGAAAATAAGAACAAATTTGACGGTTATTTTTTACTCAAATTAAACTTTTAAAGTCCACTTTATGCTAGTTATAAATATGTTGCTATTCCTTCGGACAGAGATTGCACATAACTGAGGCCGAATTTAGCTAAATTCAGAAGTTTGAGTCCATCGAAATAAAATAGGACCAAGTAGACCTGAAACTCTATGGTTAAAAACTAAGGTTAAAGTAATGACGGCGTATATATGATTGTGAGATCAAAAAGATAAACAAAAAGAACTATGACTGGTATAGGTTTATTTTGTACCTGAATACTCAGACAACATATGCTGTTTACATTTACCGGAACATAAGTAACAATGCATGGGCAATTGCCTTATAAGTCGTTTGCATGCAACATTTGAAGTACCCAAACGTACATCGGGTTTTCACAGCCTACAGAGCTTTTATTTTTCATAGTCCGTCGGTTATGTGGACGTTCGCTTGATGGTTGAAAGGAAAAGGCTCAACACTCAGCCACTTGATGAGGTTGGACGTTTTTTAGTTGATTCCGTAGAGTAATTAATACTCAGGTTTTCGAGTGAGTGACTAACAACAATATTTGCTTGGAATGAAGGACTGGGTGGTTAGAGTTTCAGCCCACTATCTTTGTTTTGCCGAACTCTGTTTATGGCCATCTCGGACAGCATACATTGTCACCGTTGGACTACAATTCGACGTTCACACAACTGTTCGGTGCCCATACATTCTCGCCTATCGGCCACCTTCTCCACCGTGGTTACATCCTCTGTAGCGGCATTTCGTCTGGTAGGAAACAGATAGCCTTTATCTCTCAGAGGTTTTGTTTTTCTGAAGTATGATATGGCGGGGAGATACCAAAACTCGGTTGTTAGTAAATCCAACATCATGTGGCAACAGCACTCCAGTGACGATCTCCGATACGTCTTTTGAGTACGGGACACTTTGCTGCGATGCGTTTATTAACCTTCTTCATTCCAACCGGTGAACATCCACGGTTATCGCCGGCTCCAAACGAGTTGATTTTGTTAAGGTTTGGCGTCGTGGTCGCAGGCTTGCTGCACTCTGTTCATCTGCCAATACAACGTACGTGCATAACTCTTTCGGTGCTGTACTATCAAAATGAACGATCTTTGTCTTATTCAGCAGTCTTCTGTAGACCACTGACTGCAGGGTTGTGAGTCGGAGAGGGCATCTTAGGACAAGAAACTCTCGCTTACCGTTCCCTAGATGTTATTCTGGAACGAAAAAGTTAATTTTATCCCAAGACTGCTTGGTCCCTTGGCGAGGTATCATGGCCTTACTATGGGAGTCCGAATTGCACAGAACAAAAGTGGACAAGCTTTTGTCGCAAGTATGATGAGTATGTCAACAAGTCTTAGAAACCCACGAATGTTTTTGTTTCTCTCTTGTAAGTGACCGAGATTTTGTGTAACATTGGCATAGATATCGCTCAGTGGCCGAAAGAGCTTTTATCAGGATACGACGAAGGCTTAACAGAAGTACTGAAATCTGGGTCTCCGTTGGTCATAATAAAGTCGGGTCTGTGGTAAAGGTCTTTGATTTGAAACCGACAGCGCCATTGTGACAGTGAGATGTGTCATTGTCTGACGGACGTCGAAAACCTAGACGATTTGCATGACCCTAAGCTTTATCAGACGCTCTGTGTTTCTGCTTGCCATTCTGGGGTTCGCTGTGGCCATTACTGTATTTTAATCAACTCAAAGGTTTCTATTCCAGCGTCTACGTCTTTTCACAGATCCTCAATATATATTCACGATTAGTATTGCATTTTTACATATGCACATCGCTAGGAGAGGCGAAAAAACATGCCTATGGACATATGGAGAAGAAAAGGAAACCTCGAGAACAATGATTGTATTGTCTTGACTTTTCAAAACTAAAGGCTTTTACTGTCGATGATGCGATTTATACCATTCTTCACCGTATTTATACGGGGTGACGGTCACGCCAACACGCCGTTAATAGTAAGATTTATCTTAGTTGGCACGATGAAGAGGAGAGAGTGGCGGGCTGTTTTCGTCGGCGGCCGGCGTTCGGACGTTGACGACCATTATTTGTATTCGCTCTGACCCTAGCCGCTACCTACTGCTAATCTTGGTTGTGCCCCCGGTCACACTTATCCTTGTCTGCCCATGTAGTGGTTGGAACGACAGTATTAACGTCTATGCCTTCGTCCCATCTGGGTTTTGGTACGACTACGTGCTTATCCAGTTTATGGTCTTCCATATCTAAGGTCACGTATGGACCAATTTAGCGTCTGATGCTCCATCCACTGACTTACATTCAGATAACTCGATGGGCTGCTGGAAGTGCTACGCACCAGTTTGTGGGGGGTTGTTCTTGTCTGAGGGCCCTTGATTATTTCTCTGGCTATGTAGCCGCTTCCTACACACACGAATTCAGCATTCAGAAAACCGAACTTTCGACTTTTATCCTGGTGTATATGCATGCATATGGGGTAGATAAATGGGATATTTTGAAAGGCAACAAACTTTACAGTAGGTGTGCTAACTCATGAAATGTTAGCGGAAATACTGAAATGCGTTCTCGTCTCTAACATATTACCTAAGAAGGGTTTTAAATGTAATCATCATAAAGCATAATTCTATAATAGTTCAAATACCTCTGGATGACAAGTTTCGAACGAACATCTTTCTGGCCACAAGCAGAATCTACGCTAAGTAAAAAATGAATACTTAAGTAGCACGATATTTTCTCATTTATTTTCGATGCCCCTAAAAATTCAATTATATTTCATGGAAAACATGCATGAAATATTCATTCATGCACCCATTCGGTAGAAAAGTATGTCTTCTTCAAATGTTATACTTAAAAAGGTTATCATTTGGCTTTTAAAACCTTTTCCAATTCCCGATTTATCTTGAATTCGAACTGCCGTTACACTTGCATTCACGGTTTCCAAACTACAAACCAAGAAAGTTCTTCGGGAATAAATGCGGGGTTTTCAAATTTGGTGGCGAACCCTGCCCTATAGAACTAAGGAGATCTTTAGCTATTATGAATGAAAAATTCGCATTTGGCTTGAAAAATCCTTTATTCAATGAGTATTTTTCTGTGTACAGTTAATACACTTCTGCACTCAACATTCAGACATACATTTCTGTATTTCTTTTTCTCGAGCTTCAACATTCTCGGGATTTTTCAGTTTATTTTTCGTTCAGTAAGCACGTTTTCCGAGAGCATAGTCGAGGTCAACAAGTATTTAAAAATTAAACGGTTTGCTATAGTAAGTTTCACCAAACGCCTGATGTGAGCAGTTATTAATTGCCAAATAGCATTTGCTGATATTGGCATACTCTCTTGATTAGTTACTTGAATATTTTTGTATTATTCTTGTCAAACGAATTCCATTTTGTTGTTTAAGCTGACAAGTTGTACAACGTGACGCAAGTGGGTATTACTTTGCAAACGCCATGTCTGGTCATCTAATTAACTGTGCTTCATCAAAATTTCACTGAAATATAATTTTGATATAAGCAGTGTTAATTATGCACGGTAGGTTACCTTAAGGCATTCACCGTTATTTATTTGGATTTCTTATGGTTAAAAAGAACTGTGCTATTCAAAGTGAAGACTCCATAAAGATCAGTGTTTGCCGATATGGAATAATAATTTGCTTGGGATATACACTTTAATCGCGAAATTGTGGAAATAAAATTCGACTTTATAATTCATAAGTATGGCTCGACGTGTCACCATGACAGATGATAGTAAACAATGACACGTGATGCCTGTATGCGTCAACTTATTTTCTCAGTATCGACAACTATTGGACTTAAACAAGCCAATCACACAGTCCACGAACACGCGTGAGTGCTTTAACCTTGTGAAGGGAAAAGCAAAAGTCTGGAATATTGGTAGCTGATCTTACGAAACCTGATATTTTAAAAGTATAAGCAGATTGTAAAAGTCAGAAGACCCCAACGTATGCTGGTTGGGAAAGGGTAAATCTGACATACTTTCAGTTAATGAGGATACGACCAGCAGCAAACCAGCGAAAATCAGATTAGTTTCGACAAACCGTCAGAACGTATTAGTCATTTTTGAGATTAATTCGTTTAATTTTTACCCGGCTTACTAATTCGTCCAATCTTCAGTCTTCCTATTCGTGTTTAAATGTCACTTCATTTGGAATAAACCATCAAGATCCAAACCGGATGTCCTCTTAGTCAAGGCTTTTCAATATCTGTCTTTTGACTGATAACGAAGGCGCTAATGCAACGCAAGTGTTGGAAAGTATTTAGTCGATTGATTAAACAAAAGTACATGATTTAGCCCTGCTGATTTCGCACTCGAATTGGCAAAACTGACGAATTATAAGAATTACGTAGCAGTTTAATTCACACAATGTGAACTTGCCGTTTACTTACTTTGCATAATTTGGTTTTAGTACGCGTAGAACCAGTTGTTTAAGTGACGCATAATTCCTGAGTAAATGATGAAATTCAAGGAAATGAAATTAACCTAAGAGACGTGCCACATTTTACTACTTTTGTGGCACGCACGAATGTTCATTACTTTTTAAAGCAGTTGACTGGGACAGTTACTCAAACCAGCTGTGAAACAAGAAGTTACACAGAAGTCTATAATTCCTTTTCTTGTAAACTTTAGATCAGCAACATGGGATACTTAACCAAATACTAATGTAATCTACTGAGATGATGTGAAAAGCTTTGGTTCTTATTGTTTTAGACTATCTATCTTTCCTATTCGCTTCTACGCTTGTATCAAATCGAAGAGGAATCGATGCATGATGAAACTGTCATTAATAACTTTATCATAATTATTAGTAATTTTTGGCCCATGATCCACCAATCTGGCACTGAAGAGAAAACCAAAATGCCGAGCAAATAAGTAAGTAATGCATGCCGTAAAAAGCCATATTGACTTCTTCCCCTTCGTTTTTACTCTCTGGAAGATAAACAAATTTTTTCATTTGTGCAGTTCGCTGAACTTATCCATCACTATAAATGCTGTTTATCTTGCCAGCAAGCGTTAACGATTTTATCACCCACTCTAATCTCTAAACCAGAGGGGCAACGGTAGGTTGTGCAATCTCACCTCTCAATTAAATTTAATTGTCCTAATATTGTTTATGAGAGACATCAGACACAAGTACTGTTATACAAATAAATAAGTCAGATGTACGCGTTCGACAACAGGGACCGTTCAGAGATATCGAGGAAGCAGAAAATCTGTGTTCTAACCGAGGCAAGGTAGATCAAAACGCATTCGGCGATCCTTGTAGCACGTACAGTATGGTGAGTACCGACAAGACACAAAAAGTTTTAACTACTCTCCTGGAAGAAATAAGTAAATCATGGCAAACGGAGTCGACAACGGAAGGCAATGCAAGTACATTGGGATAACTAGGAAATCAAGGTATGACAAAGAGATTACGAGGAAGGGGAGCGAGACCATCATGCCAAATAATTATCGCTAAAACGTCATACTGAAAAAACCCTATGCATGCAGTTATATCAAAGTGTTAGATAACACACAAAGAGAGACTTCCTGCAGCTACGGAATAATAAACAAAACAAGGCCAGCTAAAACAAATAAAGTAATTGCTTATATATTCCAAACCCAGTGGGGTTACACAACCTATCCTTGCCCGCGGATGACTACGTGTTGCCTGATCGATGTATTCTAATTTGTGCAAAACTAATCGGAGCAAGAGTGCTTGGCACCTATTTTATCAGTAATCAACCCGCTTCGTAATATTAAGGAAGAATCAGTCTAAACTGAAACCACTAACCGAATGCAATGACTGACTACTTTCGATGTTCTTCAGTCTAAAAGAGACCAGGTATGGAAAATGCACGTTCTTAAAAAATCGTCGGGCCGTTTAATAAAAGACATGACATCAGGGCAGCGAAAGTTGAAAAGGCAACCAACACGGGCGGTGGGGATATAACTAAATGACACCCTCAAAAATTGCAAGAATTTCTTTGAATATGCCCAATAGACATCTAAAAGACCATAAAAATATCCGAACGAGGTATGTGAGAAGGATTCCTTAAGATCTTATTAACCGTGTATGGACAAAACTGGAAAGAAACAATGAATAAGCCTTGTATGTACGGCTAAGTTTAGCAAAGACTGACTGTTCACGAAAGCAGTTCACAAGAACGAGATTAAAAGTATGTTTTATATTTACATAGGAGGATAAAGAAATACATGATGGAGTCAAGAAATCGCAGTTTCCCTTATTTTATGCTCTAGCACTAAAATGTATTTCGGACGACCGTCTTCCGTTTTAACGCTGTCAGTGTGAAATTGAGATCTGGTACTAACAGTTATTGATTTTGCCCCCCATTTAGGCGAAGGTATCCACCTACCACATCACAGTCTGAGTATTTAAGACAAGTTATGTCATTCTTACAAATGAGATTATTATATAAAAGGGTGATAATTTTTACGCAAATCTCCACTGATTTTACTTTGACAATTTTAAAAATATTTACTTTGGATTTACTGATATAGCTTGACCCAACTCCTTCTACGCTTCTTGCTACGTTCTGCCTCTTGCTCAAAAATGATTGTAAGATTCTTTTTCTTGCAGTGAGAAATATACTAACCCCGCCTCCTTTTCCAGGTAGGTATGGGTGCCAAAATTTTTTCAGGCGCGGTCGTTTAATAATTTACTGGAAATCAAAAACGTTTAGCATTGTAAACGGGCCATTTATCAAACAAATATAAAACCTTGAGTCGCATGGTCTACCTTTGGTCATCATGTGTGTAGCTAGTTGTACTTTTGAGAAGGTTCCAGTGCCTAGCGTTTCACGCAGCACATAACGCCGAAGCGTGTTGCTGGAGTCAAAGAAATTATACTTTGCATCTTGCGTATTTGTCCAGTTGCTGTCCAGGCACTCCAATATTCTTTCGTATGGCGTTTTCTTAATACGTTTGTCGGATGATAACGATGAACTGGCCGTTTCTTTGATTGTTGGAGCTGTTTTTTTCTCATCCTTCCATTCCTCTACACAGTTGGCACCTAAATGCTGGTTAAAATGGTCCTTTGAAATGATTTTCCGAAGATTGCTCGCGGAAGAATCGTTAGTTGTTGTAGGTTTGCTTCCAGCATGAGGCCTCGCGGAAACTTTTTTGACGATTACGTCGTGTATACTCATACTTCCCGAGCCATTGTCCTTACTGACAATAGTAGCCTTTTTATTACTATCCAGATGGAAAGCTTGTCCATCGGTGGGAATTCGCGCAAGATAGTGGCAGGTATTGCTGTGCAGCAGGGTGGGTAGTGGGCGCCGATAGTAAATATTTCCTGGTTCTTTGCTCGAAACAAAATATATTTGAGTTTCTTTTTCTTGTAGACTATTTGGAGCAAGCTTTGGTTTTAATTGCATCCTGAAACCGCTGTCACCTACATTGGCTTCTTGGAGTTGACCTGCCTTGTTCATATGTACCACCTCCTGTCAGGACTGATGTTCTGTCTTTATGTCCTTCGTGTTTTCAACTTATAATCTGTGATAAAAATATGGTAACGCAGTTTGTGAAGGTAGCCCTCTAGAAAACAAGTTATACTTACATTGACCTACCTGTTCGATGTGCAAACTGTGATCTCTAAATGCATCTTGGTTAAAACAAATGTCTTCAGACCCGTTAGAAGTAAGCTGGTCTGTTGCAGTATAAAGTCATTAACAATTGCTGAAATTTTTCCGTGTTTTTACTAGTTCTACTCATGATTACGTGGAAGACTTGCATTTCAGTTTGTGTTGGTGACTCAGAAATGGGATATTCTACCTTGAACAGCGATTTGTCGGTTTGATATAGACTTTTTTGTGGTAAGAAATACTCATCGTTTATTTTTAACGGCAGACTGACAAAACAGTCGTAGTTTGCCAGACAAAATGCAATGAGGACTAAATTTTAAAGAAGCATTTGTTTGCTGCGCTTATGTTAAGTGAGGTTAAATTGGCTTCATTGTAGACTGCCGACCACAATGAAATTCTCACACCTTATAAACCACAAACATTGAAAACGAGTGCTTTCAAACCCGTTTCCGTATTTTAATGAAATATGAACAAACGAATATATTAGCTTTGTTTGGCAATTACATGGTTCGGAATGGTTAATTAACCTTCTTCTTGGAGATTTAAATGCAATGGAGTCCGATATTTCTATGAAGTGCAGTCATGTTTTACAATTTTTCGGGTACAGAAAAAACTCTCTGACATGATTTAAACGTCAATCGAAGAAGTCATCTACCAAGCAACAAAAACACGCCCCAGAAATATTTTATATGAAAAAGTATTTTTGATGTCTTAAAAAATTCTCTCATTTTATGCGCTCATAAGCTTAATCTGCAAAACCTTATCTATCGGGCATATTCTAGCGCGTAGATAAAACAATTCTTTTGGGGATGTAAAATCTCGCAAACTCAATTTTTCGTCGTACAACACAAGCTAGGAATTATGGAGGTCCGTTTGAAAGTGGTTACAAGATAGGTCAAATATACGAAATTAATAATGAAACAAGTGAGATTAAAAATGTTATATCCTAAAACTCTACATATTTTGTCAAATACTAATAAGAATATAACTCGAGGTCCTCAACAACACCATAGACCTTCTGGGCGCGTGTTTGCATTAACTGGCCAATGGACTGTTATGTGCTCCCAACTCACTGCCCCATTTGTGCAAAAATTTAATTTATTGTGGGGAACAGGCCATGCCAGTGGCTGTTTAGTCTAGTCAATCAATGCGCTTGATCTCGTATCCGAAGGTTTTGACTCTGTCTTGATGCGATGCTTAGGTAGTAAAGGAAGAGTGTGCGGTTGACGCGGAAGGAGTATGTTAACCCTATAAACTGATTCACGCGCAAGACACCGCCCTTTCGCACACCAAGCTGCAGGGCAAACGGCGAAAATCGTCCGCAACGACGGTCGAGTTGCCATCAAATTCAGTGATATTTTTGATAGAGAGTCCTAAGGTGCACCGTTATGTTTGAATTTTTCTTATACTTTGGAAGTTTTGATTTAGAAAATTGTTTCCCAACAATGAAAGAATCTGAGAAAATGGCGAATTGGTAGATTAAAAATAAATTTATCTGACTGAAGCACCGCATCTAAGCAATTTAACATTTATTTTCTTAAGCTGGCTGTCAGGCCGACGAATTACTCCTGCTGAGCAAATAATTTAAAACTGAGAATTTCCCCAAGCAGCTTCCAAATATCTCGCCTCTTGACGTCCTGTCTTAAGTTCCACTTCACATTCGACAAAATAACTGACAAGCAAATAAAGGTATGCCAATGTATTCACCGATCTCGTGATTCAGCCAAAACTATTCTGTATATGATCAGAGTTGCTGGTTTTTCAATACCAGAGGCCCCAATTCTGGACCCGACAGGTGGATGTAGCATTCCTCGCTTCGAACGGGAACAAATGTGGGCATTTAAAGAACATCTTAACGCCGTCTCGCCTAAAACATTTAATTAACGAGAAAAAGAGAAGGAAACCAAGCATCTACATTCACCTGACATCCGCGTCTGCCGCAGGGATTGCGGTGACCTATAAACCGAGTTTTTTAAAAAGGACTGGTATGACGTAAATACGGAGTTTTGATGGCAACCAACCAGTCAGTCAAAAACGTGATCGAATAGGACGCTATATCAGTGTGCCGGGACACGCTGCAGTGGATCAGAAGGAGAGACATGTTTTGCTGATATTCTGCCGCTGCATGGCACACTTGCGAGGGGTTCGGCTCATCAATGATTCCCCCAGCGTTTCCTGTGCGCTTTCAAGTAGACACTGCAGATCAGAAATTGTTGCCCTCTTATTTCTTTAGAAATTTCCCGCAAACTTAGAATATGTCAGTGTAAACTTAGGTCTAAAGGGACAGACTAAGATGTGATAAAAATATTTAGGCCAAAGTCCACAGTCCCAGAGGTACAACTACGTAGTATTCCTTAAACTACTGACAAGTAGTCAGTAGCATGTACCAAGGCTAAGGGATAGTAAACTGGCACTATAGGTACTGCCTAAAAGCTTTGACACATGTTTCGCCGATGTTCTGCCACCGCATAACACAGGTATTACTACCTGCCTGTTGACCGTTTTGTGAATATTACGAGGTTGTCCCGCTGTGGCTGATGGACTCATGTCAAATGTTGGCCTGCGCCAAATTACTTTACTCCAACTTAGCGGCGAATTCTCATGGACGCTAAAAAGTAAAACTAATAATATCAGCAAGCTAAATTGCCGAATGAATACCATGCACTCGAGTGCCTATAGGCACTGTTCTCTTAGTAGGCTTAGCCACATATTGAATTACATAATCATGATTATGTAATTCAATATGTGGCTAAACCTATTAAAAAATCGTGCAAGAGATTCCTATCCAAATTAAACTATGAGATGAGGCGCCTTTGAAACTAATCCGCCCTTTGAGTCTAATGCTCGTCACTTACAGAAATATGGTTTGTGAAGTGTGTGTGGACAAGCAAAAAGGATTGACGAGTTTTGGGACAAAGGTATTGACGTATAAACCCGGACCGCGGCAAATGCTTAAAGGTCCCGACTGGTTGAATAAACTCACCAAAAGTGTGTTTTGTACATTGTTGTAAAATTCACGTCTTTCTGCTGTTTTAAAAAAAGCAATTTAGATCACATAAAATACAAATAAAGCATTTTAACTTTATGCTTCACAGCTCAGCAGATACAACAGTAATTTGTTTTTAAAATTTGGATGTAATTTGTGGATTTCGTTGTCCTTACCTGGTGTTGTGGTAAAAAACGTAACTACTTTCAGGTTCAAATTAAATAGCATGTAAACAAATTAAATGTTTTGGAATTAACGCGGACTGACCTTAAGGGTAAGGTCGAAACACGTTTAGTCGGTTACAACAATCAGACAGGATGTGAATGCCCGTGATATGTCTAGATGTCTAAATGTTTGATTTTGCAAAGAACATGTCTTTTTAATGCAGTTATGTTGTCATTTTGGAGCAGTACGCCCGAATGGTTGGGATTGGGAAATGCGTGCTACGGAAAATAGAGTTGAAGTATTTTGTGCATATGTATGCCTGAAGATCTACAAACAGAACCCTGGCGGCCATACGCATTTGCAGAAAAATTCGCATTTTTACAGTGAGTGCAAAACTACATGCATTTCGCAAGTGTTACAAGAAAAATACAAACCAGTTAAGACGATTGTCGCGGTTAAATAAATAAATGCCTTTTATTAAAGGTCCATAGGGGTATAATCATAGCAAGTAAAAATGTAGTTTCATATGAATTTAAGACGAGGTAGTCAAAATCGGAACAATATGCAATCCATGGATTCCGAATTAATAATCCGTTAAGAAAAATAATGAGTGAGTAGTTAAAAAATCACTTAAGAATTGAAAAATGATTTGATAAACCCGACAGGAGAAAGAAAACTGTCGCTAATTAAAGGACAGAAATTTGGACATGATTGATCTGCATGTGTCGGTGTATAACGGATTATAAACGAAGGTCGACAGGGTAGCAATAAATGCCAGCCTTAAGGGGTACGTATGCGGGTCAGACAGGACCGGCCTGCGTGTGGTATTGAATATGGGATTCAAAACGGACATCGTAAGGCCAGAATTCAGGCATCGAAGTAGACTATTCGCGCCAAAGTGGCGAAACGAGAAGAACCCAGACGCGGTCGGTCACAGTCCGCCTCGAGTGTAGCTTAGGGATAGGCAAGGGAGGTACGACCAAACTACTTCTAGGCGGCGAATACTGAGGGTTCCGCCATAAGCGTCAACAGACCGTGAGGCTGAAATGAGGAGATGACATTAAGAACCGTGAAAATTGTTGCTATGGGGGAGAAGTGATAGCGGTGGATTTAGAAACCAATTCAAAACAAGGTTTGTAAAGATATAAGTGAGGGTTTCCACTTGACCTACCACTAAATCCCATAAGGACCTTTCTCATATTCAAGAAGCCGGATGTTCGGGAATAAGACCGTTAAAAGTGCCTTTATACTTTCCGGTGTAAGGTGTTTGCGAAATTTCGACTTAAGTGCCAGTAGCTTAGACGATGCCCTAATTTCTGGTGGAAGATTACTCCAAAGGAAAGCATATTTGGAAACAAAAAGAGAGAACGCTTAGATGTAGTGCATGGAGGAGTTGCGCGTGAAATCAGACCGATCTCTCTGAGTGAGAGTGTCAATGAGCGGAAGATTGCAGCTAGAGTTAATGCGAAACAGAAAGCAAAGGCCAGCCTCGAGTCTTCTAACTCACAAAAACTTAAGCTTCGCCAGCTAACATCTCTGAGTATAAGTAATGCCGATGCAGCTTAAGAGAACAGTTTTCGGCTGGAAGCCCTATGAATATTTTTGATTTTATTACGGTCACAGGCGTTTATTAAACCGAAGAAAGGACAGCAGTACCCAAGGGCTGGAAGAACAAACATTTGATAACGTCTTAGCT